GGGTCCCCCACTCCATGTAAACAGGGTCTTACTCTCCACACATCTTTTGATTTCGGGACATCCTGTCCAAAAATCAAAGTTTGGTGCATGCGCAGTAACGGGATACTGTTCCTTTAAACAAAAGAAGCAAGGCTGATTTTACAGTCGGGAATATTTCGAACAACAACACTTCGGAAGGCACAGCCTTCCTTCCTTTCATGGTCTCACATACAATGATGAGGTTAAGCTTAAGAGGTAGACTTTCAAAAAGGTCCTTCGTCGGAGTTCATATGGCGCGGGACGAAGGACTTTTCATACTTGATTGGCGCCAGTTTTACCGACTCAAAAACCGGTCGGTACGCTTGGACCAATCAAAGTACCTTCCAAGGACCTTGGGGATAAAGTTGTCACTCACAAGTGCTAAGCGCATTGAAACGTGACTTGCGGTTCAAATTCCAACATGGGGTCGATTGCGAAAGCGATGAAAGATGCTCTTGAGCACAGGCTATTTTACCGAAGCATATCTGTCGGGGAGGGATATTTTTTTGTCTGCTCCAACCGGAGCTGGCAAGAGACTGACCCTTTGAGCTGGCTCCATACACTTTCGATCGTTTATTTGGGGAGGATTGCTATGCCATCGTGTTTGTGATTGTTCCGTTGATTTCTTTAATGAAAGATCAGGTCTCAAACCTAAATTCCCGTGGCATTGGAGCATCGTCCGTAGGAGACAAGTGTTCGGCAGAACACCTCAACAATAGACCTTGTCACGGTTTTCGACGCCATCTTGACGAGTAGGCAAACGCGTGAGAAATTACAGTGTTTGTATGAGAATCTAATTTCGAATAATTTCCGTAGAACAGCTGTTCTGAAAAAAATATGATTTGTAAACTAAAGCTTCACTCCTAAGGATTTTACTGAGAAAATTTGAGGGCGTTACATGCTCTAGAAGGCCTAGAACTACTTTTTAAATTTCCTATACATTTGTCTGTAGGAAAGTCCCGCGAAAATTACAGACAAACATATGGAAAATCTAAAGAAAGCGTCTGTACTGTCGCACTTTGTAATAATCGTCGCACTTTTTAACACTTGTCGCACTTTGTAATAAAGAAGCTGTCGCTCTTTGTAATAACTGACCATCGCATTTTTAAAGTTTTACTACTAGCACAGGCAACTAGAAAACCTATGATTTCGTTACCTGCGAGGTATTACTTTGGACAAATACAGAGATATTACTTGATTAGTATTTATTACCATCAATAAGCTATACTGTATTTCATAAAACCAAATGAAAATCACAAACTCAGAGCACAATCCGGAGCCACAATCATTGTCATCATCATCATTATTGTCACTATTATTTTCGCACTAAAAAATTCTTTAAAACACATATTAAAGTATGGCCCAGCTAAAGAAAGAAAATACGAACACGAAGAGCAAATATTACTACAATACAATGATACTAACAAAACATATGAGTCTGATCTCAGACGTTTATGTTCAACTTTCATCTTCTATGTAGGTTAGTATCCTACTTAATTGTTTCGCCCAACGCAGGATGAGCCAAGCATTCGCCTACTTTTTATTTGAAATTATTCGCCTTAATTCAAGCACAACACCGCTTGAAAGCCCAAACATTACTAGGATTTTTTTGACGCTGGCTTTTCCCGGTACACCGAGACTAGAGAAATAAATACGCGGCAGAATCTTCAAAGCCAGCCTTTGGGTTATATCTTGAAAACGAGTATTAACTTTGCATAGTTGATTATAAACGTGGCATCTGTGGTTAGGCCACGAAAAGTTTGAAGAAATTAAGACCTGATCAATGATTATGGTTGGAATTTCATTTGGAAGCCTTTTTGACAGATCAAATCGTCGAAGTGATTGACCATCCCGACGCTATCATCTCCAATCTCCACTGGTACAGGGGATTTGTCTATAGGCAATGCCGATTCCTGTTCTCTACGTTTCGCGGGCACCACCTCTGCCTCTTGGGAACTTAATGAATCACCACCTCCGAAACTAAAGACGCCAAATAACCGATTACTTCCTTTCCATCTCTAGTTGGCGGAAAGATGTTGGCCCATGGTTAACGTCGTTAACCACGACGTTAAAAAAAGAATTTAAAATGACGAACTGGCAGATGGGTTCAATAGTTTCACAGTGATAATTTCTCTCGGAATTTTATAAGTTTCGGCTTTTTTTTTTTTAGATTTTGAAACATCTTTTTAAGCACAGATCAATTTTTCAATGACGATTGCCTTGATTTCTGCGGGTTTCAAGTAAAATGGAGGACACTTAATTAATTTCAAATGGCGGATTGTTTCAGACTCTTCTTCAACAATGAATGATGTCATCATGATATCGCTGCTATTTTTTTTTAGATAATTAATGTGTTTTCTAACTTCTTGATTTTGTCAGACACCTTTTTCACTTCGAAGGAAAAATAATGGAATTGGATTTTGCCAATACCTACACTCATTAAATTACGTCATTGTGACAATCACATCTTTCCTAGTTGTTGGAAATTAAGCGCATATTATATTATTCTGTGTTAATGTGGTGGCCGTCTCATGAGCGGCCTAAACAATCATCAGCGTCATCTTAAAACATAAGAACTATTATTATTGTTATAATAATAATAATTATTATTATTATTGTTATCATTATTATTGTCGTTGTTGTTGTTGTCGACGATGACACTTATTACTGGGTTTGCTTGTCCTCCGACCATCTATTTCACGTTTATTACAAAGTGCGACAGCTTTTTTTATTACAAACTGCGATGGTCTGTTATTACAAAGTGCGACAGCTTTTTTATTACAAATTGCGACAAGTGTTATTACAAAGTGCGAAGATTATTACAAAGTGCGACAGTACAAGCCTCTGGAGAAATTTAAGCACAGGTACACCTCCAAATGCTTCCAAATGCTTCCTTTGCTTTGTAGTTTGCAATTGATATTTTTTTCAGACGGGCCGTTTTACGGAAATTATTCGACATTAGATTCTCATACAAACACTGTAATAATTTCTCACGCGTTTACCTACTTGTCAAGATGGCGTCGAAAACCGTGACAAGGTCTATCACCAACACATTTTTCGTCACCTAAAATGAAATCACTGTTAGAGACAACCCGGGAGGGGGGGGAGGGGGGTACTGCCATATATGGGCTATATAGGTATGTGCCGCTGTGAAGGGTATGGTTTTCAAGCAGTTTACTCTAGGATAGGGTATATAAATCAGAGCGTTTGGCTCCAGAATAGGGTATCATTTTTCAGGAAACTGATCAGTTGGTTGAAGATTTTATCTAGACTAGGTACACAGCTACTCTAGGATAGGGGGATTTGGGGAGTTTACTCTAGTATAGGGTACCAAAATTCAGCTGAACTAGCTCTGGTAAAGGTTAAGGGATCCAGGCTCCCAGCGGCACATCCCCACCCAGAAATTCCTTAAGTGCCCCCCCCGCCCCGGGGAGACAACTTTCGCAAAGTATACAAATTTGCTCCTTCGATGGTGGAGATACACGTGCGTTCAATAGATTTAGTCGGAGTGGAATCAGCACATTCCGTCATTGAAGTCAAGGACTCGCAAATAAAACCTGAAGCCCCAAATGTCATAACCTGAGATCAGGCTCTATTTTCGTAGCCTGCGAAAACATCCGTTTCTCCTCGCTCTTCGCCGCTGGGGACGTTTCGCGCGGCCCCAGCGGCGAAGAGCGAGGAGAAACGGATGTTTTCGCAGGCTACTATTTTCGTTTCGCGTTGAAAATTACACTCCGGCGGGCATGGCGAAACGAAAAAAGAGCCTGATGCAAACCTTCTACGAAACGTCTGCCGCCCACTTTTTTGACTGATTGACATTTGCCGAATCAGCCAACCAAAATTACTTCCGTTGCCTGTTTTTCTAGTATGCAAATTTTTCACGCGTGGGAAAAATGCAGACTGGCTGACTTAAAAAATAGCTTTTATCTGCTAATTTTTTCAGCTAAAAAGACTAAAAATAAAACAGTCAGCACAATCACATTTAACTTCTTGCGAGATTAAGGGAGATCTCGAATCTGTTCGGATTTCCTAGCTGAAAGTATAGTGATCCGAAAATTATAGGGATCAAAGTTTACCTTTTCGAAAATTTCAGCCAGAAAAAAGGCTCCCGAAAATTCTAGGTGACCTTTTTAGGATAAAAATCCGTTCAAAATGGGCAATTTATACGATTTTTTTGAAGTTCGAAAATCCTAGGAGAGGCAGGCAAGAGCTGGCAAGAAAAATTTTTCAGAAAATGATCCGAAAATTCTAGACCTCAAATCGTCTTCCGAACAGATAATTTTCCGAAAATTGTCGTTGGGTGCCCCTGAAAACAGCAGCCGATTTGTTTAAAAGAATTAGGAACTATAGAGGCGGTCTGTAACGTACGCCAGTGAGTGTTTTATTTTAGAGATCGAGAAAAAAGCCAGAAAACACTTGTAAAGGCTAAACAACTTTAATATGGACACTAGCTGAATTCACCAACAACATTTAGAGTATGACCGTTTTTTTACAAAATATATTTTGGTAAAAAAGCTGTCCTTTTACAAATATATATCGGTGTAAAAAACAGCTTTCTTACGGTACCGTTTTTTTACATAACATATATATATATATATATATACTTGTATTCTGGGTAGAACGTATTTCGTAGAGCGCTCAATTCATTTAATATATATATTCCCGACTGTAAAATCAGCCTTGCTTTTTTCGTTAAATAGTTTTCAGTTATTGCTGATTAGATCCTTCGGCTCCGGTCCCTCTTGTTTGTAAGCTGGTCCTTGCTTCAAAAATGGAATTTTTTTCGCAGTACAGCTACATCAGAAGCAATTGACCGCTCCAGAAGATACCATAATATACCATAATGCTCTTTGTTTGTCACCCCAAATTTTGGTCTCGGGACATTTGGGAAGTCTTACATCAAGGAGTACCCGCTGATAGAAATTTCCGCGGCGAAGTGTAGTGCGCATGTTAATTGCAAGTTCACGAATTTTCAAACCAAAATGGCGGATCTAGACCACTGGATTGACATTGCAAGACAGTGCAAATATCTCCCTGAAAATGATTTGAAGGTAACGCATGCTGATCTAAGTACCTTTTACTTTCCTGTTGCATTTTATGAATTACAGTCAAGTCATTCTTTGGGCCATTATTGACAGAAATTGTGCGACTACGTTTGCGAATTGCTGCTCGAGGAATCAAACGTCCAGCCAGTTTCCACACCGGTTACAGTTTGTGGCGATATCCATGGACAGGTACTTGGTTTTTAATTACAGTTCCTATTCCCTGTTATTCTATTATCCTACAGAAGCGGTATTTTTGTAAGAGGAAACAACTTGGATACCGTGTGGCACGAAATTTTTGCGGGAGTATATTTTTGCGGATTGGCGATTTTTTGTGTTTTGGGGAAACTAATTTTTGCGATTAGGACAGATTGTTTTTCTTGCTGGGAATTAATTTTTTGCGATTTTCAGAAAGTAACCAGTACCCAGCATTGATAATATTTTCGTTCTTATTGAGTACGTGCAATAAAAATACATTATTTTCAAACAATAAACCAATATTTCGTTGTATACAGTTTTGTTACTTATAAAAGTGACTAGTTGTGATTGAACAGACACTTTTTCTTAGTAGCATATTTTTCTGTAGCGAATTTAAGTAAGAAAATAATTTCTCTGGAGTAAATTTTTGGGGGAAAAATGTTTGCGGTTATTTTTTTATTTGCAGGAACTTATTTTTGCGGATCGCTGGAAAAATCGCAACTGCAAAAATTTCGTACCACACGGTATTAAATGAGGTTGATCATGAAAACAAGAACATATTATCATGAAGTGCAGCCATGTTATTTATTCCTCATATTTCTTGTTACACAGCTGTATTACAAGATCAACATCATGCTATGGGAAATTTTTATTATGCCATGACAGCGTTATTAAAAAAATTTCAAATGTAAGGAGTTACTTTGGCTCAATAGTTACCAGGGGAAGGAAATAGTTGGGGGGATGCCACACTAAGTTACATGTACATGCATTGTTCTACATCTATAGTTCTAATTCACAACAGTTTCTCATACACGTTAATTGGTTAGCGCTATAGTCACAGCATATTAGGTAAATAAATAAACTAGTAATAGTTGACACTTCAGCTGCCCCCAGTCTGTATATTGTCGGTCAATAGTATTCTTGCTCCTTGTGTAGCTCTTTGAAATATACCGATTCATAATGAAGATGTTCACACATATTTCATACAATAGGTGAGATAAATACAGGAAATAAACGTTCCATGCACAGTTTCGGTTCGATTTACACAGCTTTGATCAAAACATTCTCAGTTTTGAGAATAGTTTATTCTAAACCATAAGAAAAGATTTAATTAGAATTTTAATTTTTCACTATTTATATTTCACTTTTTACATTAATTTTTAGCTCATTTTATTTGCCAGAAATTAAGCCTTCGAAATTAAAAGGATGTTTGATCAATTCATGCTCGCGCATTCTAGTCTTATTTTAAACTTTATAGCAGAAGGACATCTGTGAGCAGGGAATAAGTCAGCACAAAATTTGATGGTCGGCAAATTTCTGTAATCGTCCATCATTCTGCTAGTGATAAGCTAGCCGTTGAATCATTCACTCATCTTGCCTGTTTGCGGCTGAGTCTTATTCCGGTCAAAGAAAGAGAAAGAGTGTCTGGCAAGGTTTCCAATCAAAGATTTGTGAACTCGTGTCTGGCAAACTCAGTTAGTGTTAAAATATACACTGTTCTTCGCTCTTTACAACTTCATCTACATTTAACGAGTATCTTTTGGTCCATAACTTTCATAACAACTGCTCTACAGAATGTCACTGATAATGCGTAACACAAATGAGTATCGAAGTATGACTGCATAATTTTAATTTAGATTTTGTGACATTAAAATCTACCTATTGTAAGCTGTTCCTTCGGGATTTTTTGTGTTTTACATCATCCTAACCATTTCGTACTTGCGGGGGCAAACAATAGAAATGTCATCATTATCTACCGATTCCTCGCAGCCCCTGTTCAAGCAAATCAAGATTTTTTCTATATTGACTGTATGACTGTATATTTCAACTGTAAGTACTTTCCTTAATATACGCGCGAGTTACTAGAGTGCCTCCTCGGGATTTCGCCTTCTGGGCGAAATCCCTGTGGGGGCAATAAATGAATAAATAAATATAAATTATACAATATGTATGAATAACCCTGCTTTAATAGATACATCAGGAAAGAATCGCCTGCTATGACATACAACTAGGACTAACGTAGGTTGAAATCAATCTCTGAGGTTGCACGCTTAAAGGCATTAAAGTAGTAACCTCGTTGTGAATAGATTGACAGTTCTGTACAGTTGTAGTTCTTGTAAACCCGGGAGAAATGTTCCTTACTGCTGGAATTTTTATTTTTCACTTTTTGTTTGAACAAAAAATGCAAGTTGCTAAAAGATATAGCCTGTCGTACACAACTGTACATTTCATGGAGGTGGATAAACATTTTTTTGCTTTGAAATTAAAACTAGTCAATAGATGTCTGGCAATCAAATTGCACTGAGAGCACAGTGTATTTTAACGGCTTGATATGATGGCAATTTAGTTCCAAGTTGTGTTCACTTTGAAGGTCAAACAGCAGTGTAGGATATAAAAACATACCACTGTACGTCACTGAAATGAAGTTTAAGCTAGTTTAAGCAGGGCAAAATGGATAAGAAAAAGCTAAAAAAAGTGTTTCTGACTTGCCATATTGGATGTTTTTTCCATTATTAAATGCTGTTGGTTAGGTTTGCAAAGTTTTCAGTAGCATTTGGAAGTGCCGGATACAGAGGTTCAGCTGGTGCTCTTGCACCATTCGTGCTGTAGGCACAAACATTTAATGTTTACTTTATCCCTTTATATTTTTTCATGAAACAGTTATTCTAGGAGCGTCCCAGGGCATGCTCTCCTGGGAAAGTTGTAAACTGAACTTGCATTTTCCTACATCACTGGAGTGGAATTGGTTAACTGGGAAGGTCTTTTGAAAAAAAGCTCCCAAAAAGGAAATAATTATTTGATTTGGCAATTATAATTATCAGTTTACAGTTTTTTGCTTTAAACAAATTCCTGATGACAGATGCTCTACAGGTAGTAATTTAAATATCCAGTCCAGACTTTGTTGAATTGACATACCAGAAAAATCACTTTACTGAAGTTTTATCAGTGAAAATCTTGGTGATGCTTCTGGGCTGATCTCAGTCCTTGGATCTGATGAAGACGATCTCTAGAGAAAAACAATTTTCACACCTAAAAACTGATTATTTTGTTTGTGGAGTAGTGGATGTGCATGTCAAACAACTGGACATTGCATCTGGCATCCGGCTTGAAATGAAACCTCTGGGTTTGTGGCATTGTTTTCTTTGTTTGGTTGAGAAAAGATTTTGGAGAATATATTCTTTCCATCAGACAATGTCTGTGTGGAAAGGAATTTCCAGATTTGTGTATCTTTGACCTGAGAAGTGCAGCTTTCAATTTTATACTTCTATTGGTCTGATTCCTCCCCAGTTTTATGATTTAGAGGAGCTCTTCAACACTGGAGGCCAAGTTCCTGACACATCTTATGTATTTATGGTGAGTACCGGTACTATTGTTTTATAGCTAGTGGCTATTCGAATGGAACCAGTACACTGACTTGTATTAATTTATTTTGCTCTTCATATGGGATTAAGTCTTGTTGTGAAATTTGTAAGAATTCTCTTGAAATTTCTGCTCAACAAATGTTTATGAATTCAAAGTGTATGTCTCTTCAATTTTTAAGGAAAAAAAAAATCTGTGGCAATTTTTCAAGAAAACAAGAATCGCAGAAAGGCGATTTTTAACTGGGCTGCAAAGCGACTATTTTTTCTGAGGGGAGGGGGAGGCTATACACACTCAGGCTACCATAAAACCTTGTTGACGACCATTGCATGAGACAGAATCTCATGTGAGACTGAAACATAAACTCATTCAGAAAAAAAAAGAGACCTTTTTTAAGTGGGGGCTGTATAATAACTTTTAAATTCCACCATTATGAATAAATATAAACAAGTTAGCCATTAATTCTAAGCAGGAAACAATTTGCATTATTTTCACTCACCCTTCCCCCAATCCCTCTGTGCCCCAAAATATAGCATGACAGTATAACGTGACTAATTTGACGTAACCGGAAGTTCCAAAAATTGTTGTCGTTCTACAAGCATGATGCGCTACGGCATACTGTAAAATTCCGAAAATAAGCCCCGGGGCTTATATTTTTCAAAGGCCCTTTTTGGGGCTTATTTTTGGAGGGGCTTATATTCAGAGGGCTTATCTACGGAGGGAAATTTGCGTTTCAAAATCGATCGGGCTACCCTTATAGTTGGAAGTAAATTTACGGTTTTTGCTTTGTTTCACTTTGTATTTGAGGGCAATTTCCAAGTACAAGCCCCCGGGGGGGCTTATATTTGGTGGGGCGATTTAACGGAGGATTTTTTGCATTACCAGTTTAGGGGGCTTATATTTGGAGGGGCTTATACATGGAGGGGCTTATTTTCGGAATTTTACGGTAGCTGTACTACGGCTGTTGTAACCAGGAAGGGCTGGGGCGACTACGCGGTCTCCGGCCAAAACTCAAAATGGTTAAGTTATGCTTGGTATGGCAACGTCACAACACAGGTGGCCCAAGCCTAATATGGGCCGCCTGTGGAAAAATAGAGTTTGAAACTTGGATGAAATAAATGAAGTAAAAGCGATAAAAGTTATCAATAAAGTGTAAATATTGTTACCTGGAGTTGTTGTCTTTGTTTTGTTGCTTCGTTTATATCATTGGCCGAATGAAAACAAAGAAGCTGACCTTGCTGGGACGTGGGTGCGTAGAGATTTGTCTGAATGAAGTAATGTCACCCTTCCCCGGGGAGTTATTATTTGACGCTAGCCCCCAGTCACCGCCGAGTGACAAAACAGTTGAAGTGTTACACTTTTCCTACTCACGGATAAATGGTGCCGATTTTTGAACTGTAGTTGATCTTTTCGATCGAGTTGTGCGACCCAAATGCAAGGTTTACCGGAACAGATTGCAGGAAGGTGATCTTAAGGTACCACTTTGTGGATTCGGGACGTAAAATGTAAGTGTGTTTGTTTTTCCGCGTGAAATTTGGAGTTGATTCTGAGCAGCTTTGAAGATCGATCGAGCGATTCTGTCCTTCCTTGTCTCTTATTATTACACTGTCAGGTCAGATGATGTAAAAGTACTCAAATCACGCTGAAACTTCGTAAAAACAAAGACAACGACTCCAGGTAAAAATATTTTGCACTTTGTTGATAACTTTTATCGCTTTTACTTCATTTATTTCATCTAAGTTTCAAACTCTATTTTTCCCATACAAACTCTCATATTACGCTTGGGTCACCTGTCGTCACAACCGACACAAAATGTAAACAAACTCGGACGACAGGACTAGTTTTCCCGTCTAGGTTTTGGTTGATTTCTCTTCAATGGTTTTGTTTGGAGAAATAACAGACCTTGCTGTGCTTTCTTATGGTATGAATTTTATAAATGACGCTGAATATTTCTGTTGTTATATAATTTGTATAGCTCAGAAAACGTTTATTTACCTGATTTGTATCCCGAGTTCGACCTTCAAAATTCCAACGAAGATGAATGTTTGACAGACTTGCGTTTCAAGGAAGCTGACATCCCAAGGCTTGCACGGGCTTTACAAATCCCTGATGTTGTAAGATGCTACCAAGGAACGATTTGCGACGGGATTGAACATTTAGTCTAAATCTGTCTGGATTGAACTAATATAAATGTCACATAACTTTAATACATTTAAATGAGCGTTCGCTCGCTCTAGCGCCGGTAAATTATAAACATTTTATTCTCAAAGCGAAACAAGTTTTTAAGAACAGATAAGTGAAAAGATAAAAAATTTTTATTTAATAGGTACTCGTGAAATTACATGTAAGTCTTGACTTGACAATCACTTATTGAAACTAAAACTTCTATAAGCTTAAAAAAGCTCCCTTGCAAGGCTGTCTGGTCTGCAGCCATGATTATAAGGTATCCAAATCCTTTGAGTTTTCGCTTAAATAACAAAGCAATAATACCTAAGGAATATCTAAGGATGACTAAGAACTTAGTTGTTGAAGTAGGCTTCTCAGAAAAGCGAAATAAGCTTTAAAATGGCAAAGAAATGACAGTTAATACTCACGTAGTGAAGAGTACGGCAAAGATGGTAATTTGACGCAGCAGAAAACGAGGTTTCAGCGGGAAAGCTGCACTGCAACTTGCGTGGTGATGTCACCGGAAGTGATTCTGACCTTATGTAGCCGTAGTAGCCCCTTGCGGTAGCGAATCTTAAAGTCCCTAATGCGACAGACTGAGCTGATTTACACTAGACAGAAATATTGTCTTGTATGAAAACCAGAAGTATACTAAAACAGACGGTTAACTGCCCATTGATCCCGCCTGATCCAGGGGCCTCACTGACTGCACTGAGACTTAACTGCGCTTTTCACAAACATGCAAACTCTTAAGTTCAAAAGCCACCTTCACAATAAATATTGTGTTTTTCGCTGCCATCACTCATAATTACGATCCCAAGCAACGAACCTTGAAACAGAGAAACACACAAAACGGATTGAAATCCACAAATCACAAACCATGACCTTTTGAACCCGTGAAGTAAAGTTTTGTTTCCTAAGAGGTCCGTTAAGATGATTGATAGCAGTGAAACTTCAGAATTCGCATGTTTTTGAAAAGTGAAGTAAATAGACAATCCTAATTTGCGGTCTACAGTCTACATAAAAACGCACTATTTTTTCCACAAGATAAAAAATATCATGCCGTTTTAAGATTTTCCTCTTGGTATTTTTCTCTAACTTAAAGGAATAAAATCCTTTGCATTTTGTGACCTAAAAAAGTTTAAAGATTTCTCGCTCGCATGTTGCGTTCATCTGCACGCACTTCAAACAATGTAAATAGATGAAACGATTGATAACATTTTTTACCTGATACACTCTTTTTTTTAATAAGAATATTGTTTTCCAGGGCCAGGCTGAATATTCTTATTTTTCCGCCGATTTTAGGCTGTAAATATTCTTGTATTATTCTTAGTAATAGCTTATGACATTTCCGTTTTAGAGTATATTAAGGTATCAATTATAGTTTTGTTAAATATAGTTAGCTAGTTTTGCCGTTTAAAGAAAGGAATAAATTGAAAACGTATATTTGTATCGTATTTACAGATTTACACCACACAAAATTATCCTTTCCAAAATCTCAGCCTGGAGTTTATTCTTAAAGTATTGTTAAGATTTTGCAAATTTCAGCCTCGATATTCTTATAAAATATATTCTTATAGAAAAAAAAGAGTGTACCGATGTGAGTTAAAAATTTGCTCCAGTTCTGTTTGTCTCACCCAAGACTAACTTTTCCTCATGGAAGATAACTATGCCGCTTTATAACTCGTCCGAAGTTTTTGTGCCAGCTAAACAATATGGAAACACTATTCACAGTGACTCCTTGTATTGTATACATGTATTAAAAAGACTGAACGTGATGCACTATTATGCCTTTGTTTACCTCTGATCACATCTTCAAGTGAAGTCTCTCTTTTCAAGCAATTCATCTCAATAGTTAAAACCCTATGGTTCATTTATATTAATGCTTTTTTTGCCCCTCACATTGACTGTGTTTGTTCATATTCAAAACACCGTTAGGAAAATAAAGGTCATTCTAAGTCATGTGTATTATGTTTCGAGATAAATGGATTATACGCTTTTTTAAGTTTCCATTTTGCGGTGACTTCAGTTTACATCTCCATAAAATGGTAGAAGAAATATCAAGAAACATCACGAGAGCTGAAAATTTTCAAAGGCATGTTTCTGAAACTCGCTAATGCTGACATGAATATAGCATGCTTGCTGAATGGGTGAAAACACAGAATTGTGATCACAAGATCATGTACAAATTTAATGATAAAAGCTTAGCAAGATACAGGTACAAACAAAAGCAAACCCCCTGAAACCTCGACGTGGGCTACACTTGTGTGCTCTACTCAGTCACCAAACCTTGTCAGTAATAGCTCCTATTTTCCTCAAGTCGCTCTTTGTGAAGCTCCCGGATGGGATGTCCTGGTGAAGCTTTGAACTTGTGTGCGAAATTCTCAGAATTCCTTTTGTTGTCCATGTCTTCTTTATCCTCAGTATCCGAAATTTAGACCTCCAAAGTGGGGTGTGTTGTGTTAAGTAGAAGGAGATTTTTAAATGAAAAGCCAGTTTTATAACATGGCAAAGTTGTCACATATTCATCTGGACCATCTGCCATTCGTTGACAACTGAGTTGTTCGCTTCACTGACTACGACAGCATACAATCGAGTCTTCAGCCATAGTGTCGTCAACTGGTGAAATACTTTGCTCATAAATTGTGCTTATGAATTGCTCACATACTACATCGATCGATAATTCTCTCTTTGAGTTCACGAAGCGGCCCCGGCGTTCCAAACCTGACACTCACAGTCATCTTTTAGTGTAAACCTACCGTGAACGGTGTGTCAGTTTGTATACAATGTGAGCATTTCTCTGAGTTTCCCAGTGCCAACATCATCAACTGACTTAAACTCGAAAACTAAAAAAATTATAGAGTGACTCCTATGATCAAATCGCTTCGAACAACGCAAATAGCCTTCTTCAGTTTCGCAACGCCTTCTGGGTTCTGGGGGGTGGGGGGCGGAGATGAGGTACAAAAGTATCTGTGCAAGGGTTCGTGCAAGGGAAAATCCTATGAAACCATTTGTGAGAACATCGTTTCTCGGTACCAGACCCTTGTGTCTTACCTCCCCCGGGAGGCCGTTTTTCTGCCCCGACGACCGAAAACCGAATTTATGACTGGGCCGCACAGGCAGCCCAGTAAAAAATTGAGTATGGCACGACCGTGATTCAAACCTGGGGCATAGCGACTGCAGATGACCACCTAAACCACTAAACTATAGATTGTTCGCTGCTGAGTAATTGTTTGATTTCGATTTATTTTGCACCCAACCCTAACCCTAAAAAGAAGCTAACTGTTTCTCAGTGCTTAATCCTAATCAGTATGGTCAATGCTTAGCCAATCATTATTTTCGTTGCTTAACCCTAATAAGTATTGTCAGTGCTTAACCCTAATCAATAATAGTCAGAATCCTGTCTGAATAGCAAATACAAGTCGATGTATGGGTCCCGTATGAATAGCCACTAGGTATTTATAAGTTAATAAAGTAAGAGGCAAAGTAGTACAGTGTACAGTGTAATTCATCAATCTTTCTTTGCTATGTGTTTTAAATTTATTTACAGGGTGACTTTGTAGACAGAGGTTATTTCAGTTTGGAGACATTCACAAGATTACTAACATTAAAAGCCAAGTAAGAATTTTCAATCAAATTTAATTTTAACCTGTATACAATGTATTATTTAATACAGTATAATTTAGAGGCCAAGTGTGACAAGAGGCCAAGTGTGAGTGATCATTGTTTCACCAAGCACTAAGAGATAAGACCTTTCTAAGATTATGGCAGATTCCATGGCCTCTGCCAGATGTAAATACCATTGTCCAAATTTGGTGCATTTAATGATAAATAAGCTGACAATTTTGAGATTTTAGTTAGAATCTACAGCTTATTAATTGCGTTTTGAAAATGACGAGGATTATACATTTATCTGAAAATGCAGATAGTCTTGATAGTTGCAACCAGTAGGTAGCAGATTCATGTAGATGTTCTTATTCTTGAATTGGTACACTGGGCATGAAATACACTGAAATCATATTGTAGGAAAACATTATTGGTAATTACATAGACTGGATGGTTTCAATGGAAATGTTTGCCCTCATTTACATTGACACATGTACACTGAATGTTGTTTTTGCTTCAGATGGCCTGATCGTATCACACTTCTCAGGGGAAACCATGAAAGTAGACAGATTACTCAAGTTTATGGCTTCTATGGTATGCTACATTATTTTACAGTCAACTCCATATGCCAGCCATTGGGAACTTTCAAAGAAAGGCATTGGCTTTATAGGGATTCTGAAAGAAAACATAAAGGACTGACATAAAGAACCCACACCACTGTTCAAAAAGAGTACGGGAGGTACCACAGACCTCAGTGGTGTGGCCAACCTATTCTGGGCTTAGCAATGATTATCTCTGTTAAAAAACATTAAACACACTTATCAAATAGTGGTGTAATGATTAATCAAATTCTCGCGATTATGACCGTTTGGTTTGATTCACGATTCTTTGCTTCCATGTTTCAATTTTAGTTCAATTTTTGCACACCGTTTCCAGGGTGCCCTCAGTGAGTTATTATATTCTAAAATAAGAATCCAGAACTCTTTAATGTGCGTTTTTGATTGATGAGCAAAGACGATAGCAGTTCGTTCGCATTTTGTGTTGCGGGGTAAAAATGCTGTCCTTCAACCTCCCCTTGAGAATTTCCAAATAAGGCAAACCATGTGCGAAACGCTCTTTGTCAGGTTCTCAAACATGGCGACGAACCAAGCAACTGTGAATCCTCCTGTGCCTGTTACCATTCTTATATTGAGGATTTAGGGTTGCATGTTGTTTACATTGCGCGTTATGTTAGAAGAATTAAGAAACATTTACATAATCGAATCGAAATCGAATCGAATTGCAAGGAGTATGAATCGTTACACCCCTATAGTCAAATCAGCGCAAAATCAATCATTTTCCAGCAAAATTTGCCCAAAAAATCCCCACGAAATCTGCCGTTTTTCACCAATTGTTTTTCGGCAAAGTTAGCCCGGAAAATTCCCACGAATATGTCTCTGAAAATCCAGCGAAATTTGCCTTTTTTCACAACCTATCATATTAATCAGAAGCCCTGTGGTATGACGCAACCCATTAGATTTGATTGTTTGAAAATATTGCGGACAGAGCCCGGTATAAATTTGGAGGTAACCTGGCTTTGTTTATGGAATTTGGCAAATTTATGATGAAAGCAAAGCAAGATAGGATGAAATGTTTGTTTTAACTTTACTTATTTGATTTAATTCTAAATCATAGAGAAACTTGGTCGCTAAAGTGGCATCTAAACCAGAATTTTTAGTTGTCAAGGAGAAAATGTTAGTCGCATTGGCGACCATATCAGTCGCAATTTTGTGAATAGAATAATGCGTCAATACTTGAAAGTACCCAGCACTGCCAAATTTGCTCCTGTCTGCTGTACGATAAGATTTGTTCAATAATGAAAAAAATGCACATAATATGGATATTTTTTGGTAATAAGGTGCAGCATTATTTTTTCAAAGAAATTTTGCTTGATTGCTCTAAATCTGTTGTCATTTTGGAATTTGAGTACATGTATCTTCACATAACAAAGTATAGATTTTTAAAGCTCTAGCTTGTTTTCATCTTTATTTTTTTTGTCAGTCCTAAGTATTTCTTCATCTTGTAAAGCTGATTTAATTATTAATTAGACCAAACTGCAGAGTATCCAAAACAAATCAATATAAAATTGACTGTTCGAGCAGTGCTGTTGTACAATGTATGCTGGATAACCAGGTAAATTATTTCATAGCATTTGAGCGTATACATTAAATACACAACAACTCTCTTTGGGGTTCACACGTGGCAGCAACTTACATATATACATGGGCTTGGCGCTGAACTTCCGTCACATGTATTTAATCCTGATAAACAGGTTTATCACTCACGTAAATAAACACTCCTTTCTCTCATTGTTCTGCACTTTTCCTCAGTTTTAACTGTTGCAAATTGTTCTGCTCTTATTGCATGATTTTAACTGTTGCAGAAAGCAACATGATGTGGTATGAAAACTATAAGTGCCGTTTCATAACTGGTGTTTTGATAGTAAAGGGCTTAATGACTGAGTAAGTAAAATAACCTTCACATTGGTGCATTGTGCAATCAAAAAGATCTGTTGACAACCGTTCCTGTATGCTGCAACTGAAAGGTTCTTGTTGAAAAGTTTGGAGTGTTTGGAATTTGTAGGGCATGTAGTGCCCAGTGTATTGTTCTATCTCACTTTCACACTCATGTATGGGGGCATCATTACTCATTCCTTTATTACTTGTAAACTGCACCTTAACCCCCAAGCAGTGAACATTGTAAATCATCCCTGAAAAGCCCTGAGGGGAGTGGATAATATTTACATTGACATTGACATTGACATTGACATTGACATTGACATTGACATTGACATTGACATTGACATTTACATTTACATTAACAGTGTGGTAACCAAGACTTAGTGTACTTTTTATAGCAAATCTGTCAAATTTGGGCAGCGGTACTGCATTGTGAAATATCGACACCAATTAGAAACAGAGAAACATATTGATTGACTGATAAAGGTTATTATTACAGTGTACTGACAATATTTAGTTTTAACATGATGTAGTTATTGATTATTTCTTTTACTTAATTTTTTTTATGTTGTTATTTTACAGATGAATGCCAATCAAAGTATGGGAATGCAAATGCTTGGAGATATTGCTGCAAGGTGTTTGACCTTCTAACCGTTGCAGCTGTAAGTCTTCCAGTCTAATTCATTTCAAAATATCTCCCCTGAATAATGTTATCTTACACTGTGTATTGCTCTGCTCCATTTTTTTCTCAGATTTTTTAAGCATTTCAACAAAGATATCCACATCCACAAAATGGTGTCAGCCTTGAGAAGTTTAACATTATGAATACAACTTCTTTGAGTGGTCATTTTTCTTTTGTAGGAAGGGTTAGGTTTCTTCATCAGAGCAAATCTGCACTATTTGCTCTGATGAAGGGTTAAGGCTCAAAACATACATGTTATCTTCTCAATTCCCCTACAGTCGCCAATTCGCCTTATCGACCCTTTTGATAAAACTAAATTCGTAATATTATTTTTGTTTTAGGTCATTGATGGGCAGATTCTGTGTGTTCATGGTGGTTTATCACCAGACATCAGAACCCTTGATCAGGTGAACAGATATCACTTTACATGTATATTTATAGCAAACATAGTCATGCATTTCATTGTAGCCTTTTTAGGCAAAAAAAATAAAAATATATATACATATGTAAACCAGCACTTCACTAAAAGAATTTCATGTATAATTTAAAGGCCACGATCCAGGTTCAAATACTGTTTTGGATTTTTTTCTTATTTTGCACTTTTTGACTGATCTCAAGGCTGTGCTCTAAGAAGAATTGAAAGAAGCCCAATTCCTTGAACCTGTGAAATCCAAGCTAGGTGCCCAACACATTAGTTCAATGAAAAAACTAAGATTCCCTACATTGTAGTCGCCCAAGAGCAAAAGTAAGGTACCAGGGGCTAATGGGCACCACCAGACCACAGCCCTGGAATTTTAAACTTACCATACAATAATATTACAGGTAATTTATGTGTTTACCGGTATATGTCGTGTCAGTTTTGGTCTTAGTATTACTGAGAAGTAGAGTATAATGTTGTGACAAAGTTAGTTATTTTTTTCACTGAGAGTGGTGCAATGTTGTTTGTAACCTTTTCTTATGTTTTTCTTCAGATTCGAACAATAGATCGTAATATGGAAATTCCTCACAAGGGAGCTTTTTGTGATATCCTTTTATACACTGAACCACATGTTCAACTGTTAAAGGGACACAGTCAGCTGATGCACATGCTCATTAGATACAATTTCTTAGCTGAGTAGTGTGCATATCACGAGACACATGCGTGTAACAGAATATGAGATGCACAATTTTTGGAATATGTAAACAGATCTTGTGGAGTTGAACTAGTAATTAACAAGTCAAAATTGTGAGTATAGACCCCAAGTCATATCAGAGCACTCATTTTCTATACACCATTGAATTGCATCCAGCGGTCGCTTTAAAATTTGCAACACCTGCTTTCCTTTTGGTGAGTTCTAAAATAAAGAAAGGTTATGTTAAAAGAACAAAGTTTCCACCAAAAAATGTGTTGGCAAACAAACTTGAAATTTTTGCAGGGAAATTTTGTCAAAATTTCACTGCATTTAAGATGTCGAGGAATGGCTCAAGGGGTTAAATGTAAGCAGTGGTTTCCAACAGAAAGTACTCTATATAAGTAATCGGCTCCTGATATAAAATGCCACATTTCATCTCCAAAAACAATGCAACATGGAGTAAAAGTGACAGGGTGGCCCTCCCAGGGAGGGGGCAGGAGGGTACTCCCTTGTATAAACCATACAGGTATGTGCCACCCCAAAGGGTGACATATTTTGGTCTGAAATAGGGCGGGGTTTGGAGAACTGGGTGGCACACCCCACCAAGAATTCCCAGGAGTACATCCCCACCCCCTGACTATTTTTCCAAATCTTTGTTTATGGCGATGCAGTTTATTCTCCAACTTGGGAGGTATAGACCATGAAAAAAACTTTTCTGGGCGAGCATGCCTCCAGACCACCCCCCCCCCCCTCCTTGGGCAAGGCATGGGGGACCTTGCAATTCCTACTCTGAAAAGTTGTGAAAACATTGGTCCCCCACCTTCAAGTAACATAGGCCCTAGAGAGAAGATCAGTTTCCTTATTTGAAGGACACTTATGCTTAGGTATTATCCTTAACATTTGGCACATCTTGTGTGGTCTGACCCCGAGGATGTGGATACTTGGGCCATCAGCCCCAGGGGAGCAGGATGGCTGTTTGGTGCAAAAGTTACAAATGAGGTAAAAGATGTGCAGTGTTCACCCATAAAATAACAACTAGCAAACAAATGTATAATATGGTGTGAGTCATGACTGCATTTTGAGTTGGTCATTGCTTAAAAAATGAAATCTTGTTTTCATGTTCCTACTCATTTTTTTTTGTCCCTTTGTTATCTTTCATTAAAAAAACACTTGTTTCTGACAGTTTGAAAAGAAGCTCACTTTTATAGTGCTTATAAAAGTTCACTGTATCCTTATTTTCTCAACCTTTGTCAACATGACAAGTATAAAAGTTGCCCTTAAGACAAGTTAAAAGAACATTGGTAAATTGGAAACTGCTCTTTCACACCAAAATGCTTTACAGGTAGTTGTTTCTTTTATTGAAAGTGCTCGTAATAATTATGAGTACTTTTAGTAAAAAGTGTGGTTGCAGTGCACACGCATGAAATATGCCTATTATCAGAGATAAGAGAAAGAGAGAGACATTTTCTTTCAGATTTTCTGTAACTTTGACTGTTGGCACCTTTCATTTTTGGTAGAGAAGGGCCAAAGAAGTGGCCATTCACTTTGTAATCCTTGTTTTCTTTTCACAGTTTGTCCATATCAACAACTTGAAGTTGATCTGCCGTGCCCACCAGCTGGTCCATGAAGGGTACAAATACATGTTTGATGAGACGCTTGTGACTGTTTGGTCTGCTCCTAATTATTGTTACCGTTGTGGAAATATTGCTTCTATATTAGCATTCTCAGATGCGGATACCCGTGAACCCAAGCTATTTAAAGCAGTACCTGACTGCGACAGGGTGATACCACCCAGAACAACCACGCCTTACTTTCTGTAAATTGCTGTACATATAAATTAACTGGTTTGAGTAGAATATTTTACAAGAGTATCTACGCAGTCGAACCTCTAATAAGTTACTAAAGGACGCCTGAAGGAGAAGGAAAGATTGAGTGGATCCTGCCCCCCAGTTGTTCAAAAGGTGGATAACGCTATCCAGCGGGTAAATCACTGTCCACTGGATAATGCTATTAGTTTCCCTAATACTTATCGTTGGATAGTGATTTATCCGGTGGATAGCCCTATCCAACTTTTGAACAACTGGGGCCTGGTCTGGAACTCTGAAGTTAAGGGTTCCAAGTGGAGGACATCAGTGATAGAGAGGACTGTTCTGATGTACAGTGTATAGTTCTATATTGATGTCATTTCTGCGGTTAGCATCCAGGTAGTTTGATTTTGAAATGGCTGCTTTTGAACGGTTTTCTGGAATGACAGATGTCGGTCAGTGGACCTCCAGACGTTGTTCTAGTCTCTACTATACTAAGTTTGTGTGTATACAGTCGTTTTGCATACCTTTTTGATACGTCAGACAACGTTTGGATATTAAGGTTGGCCAAACTGTAAATGGCTTAAAACGCTATTTTCTTAAACACCGTCTAATCTCTGTTTTAGTGACCAGCCCTAGGAGTCAAATCATGTCTAAGGGCGTTTCCAAAAGTCAGAACTGGCTGGCTAGACCGGGTCATTTTGAAAATAAAACGTTAGTCTTTTCTTGAAATTTTTACTAAAACGCATCACTGCCCGGCGTGCATACCTTGTAGAAATAAACTGATCTGGCTGGATATTCTATTAGATTAATAGTGGAATTCTTCCGACAACTTTACTTATCTTGCCGGCTATTTCTGATAAGCTCTATAAGCGTTTTTAAGAAGTACTATTATCACACTTATTTGATTCATCAGCGTAAATTTTATGTAGTTTTATTAATTTGTTGTCTTCCTCACGTAATCTGGAATCACACCACATGTCTAATGAAATTACAGACTTGTACCTTATTGCAATTAAAAGTATCGTATATTTGTTTCCTTCCTAACCTGGCTATTTTTCATCAGGGACAGGCTGTTCAAAGCTGGGTTAAGATACACGAGGGTTTTTGTTTTTGTTTTTGTTTTTATCTCTAACTTGATGATTGGAGTCTATAAAACAAATACAGAGAATTATCCGAGAAAATGCTTTTGAAACTGGGATTACAATTTAACCCCGGGTTAGCGCTAATCGGCCTTCTAACACTGAACTGGGCCCAAGAAAAATAGTTGGAGATTATAATAAATGCTCTTTTTAACTTGTTCACGCGAAGGAATTTTAGTTTTATTCTTTCATCTTTTTTTGAAGGTTTCTTCTTTACGGCGTAATATTCAGTTTCCAAAGTGAAACACATAAAACTGAAGTTGCTATGAAAATTATGAAGTAGTAGCAAGGTCATCAAGATATTTTCCCACTCCACTTCCCTATAAAAATCGCAAGAAAGAAACATCTGTTAACATATTTCATACGCAACCAGGGTCTGTGCAAATAGCGGAGAAAATTCACTCGCTCGCTGACTCCAATTTTGCTCGTGAATGATATGAAATGACAGAAAGTTACAAAGTTTGTCTGCGACAGAAGTGCTCTCCTTCAATTTGGAGGCTCTTGAAAGTGATTGATCTCCGTAGATTATGTCAACGGTGCCTTCCAAAGGTAGAAAGAAACCGCGTTTTGCAGTCTACTGTGAATCTAGCTAGCTTCGAAAAAATCGTTGAATTCATTCCCTGAAATGATGGTATCAGGACATGGGTTTTAAAAAACAACTGCTTCTTTATTTTGGGCGGATAGAATTATCTGATGCTCCGCCCCGAGGTTCAACCCCTTCCCCCCCGGCTCAAAAAAAAGTAGGAAAGGTATGGGTATATCTGTCGTTTACCTTCCATTTTTTCTCTTCGTACCTTCCTTCAGCTTTTTGAAAAGACAACTCTTGAGGGTTTCCGCATTTAGATATAGGTAATTATGCGGCATCGATCAATTCCAACTGCGTCCAGCCCCCCCCGGATACTACGGGGCATTTGCCCGCCTTTTTCAGTCCCGGGGGTGGGGTATTAGCAAATTTTGCCCTGCCCGGGGGTCGGGCATTTGCCAACCCCGGGGCCACCCCCGAGCTTTTGACACGTACGTGGTTTCCTATCCGAATATAACTCTATACAGAGGATTTTACTAGAAAACAAGCAGATTGGCTCATCTGTCAATTGGCTCGAGCGCTCATCTGTCAAGCGGGAAAAATTGTTGGCATATTCTCGATTTTACGCAGTGCATTTCTTTATTATGTCAAGCCAGAAGTACTTGGCGAAATCGGGAGCTATGGACGTGAATCAACTTTTTTTCGGTTATTGAATCAAATTTCTGTTGATATTATTTGAAGGACATCCTTCATATTTATGAAACTATTCAGAACAGATAACTTTACAGAACACTAGAAATTTTAATGTCAATAATTTTATAACACGATGAAACCATGAACTGATGTAGTCGCGGCGTGAAAAGCAGACGTTAATCGAAACAAAAAAATCGCTCGTTAAATGCTTAAAAAGGCACCACTCGAATGTGCGATCAATGAAGTGTTGATGGAGGACGGGGAATTCGCCCTCATTTTTCGTCCCCACCCCCGGGAATTTGCCATATCCCGAGGTGAAAAAAGTGCTAATGCACGGGGGTCAGGCCCAGATGGAGGGGGGTGAGGGAGGAGCGCTTGGCGCAGCTAGCATTGACCAATGCATTATACCCCCAAGGAGCTGGACATCTAAACCTGGCCAAAACCTCCTCTTCAAAATCAAACGGTTCAAGATGCGAACAGGGAATAAGATACAAGCCTGGCCTGTAGATCTTCCAAAGACGCCCTGTGCTCCTTGTTTCTTGCGGCGGTGCCTGGGGACGACAGGTCCGTGGGAGAAGGAAGACGAGAGAAATGGGTCGAGTTATAAAAGCGATTCAACATAAGATTCAACATGGCGACCTTTCATTGCGTTCATCTGTGTCGTCGGCTGCGGACTTCACTGTTTTGTAGCTCATCGACTTTCGATCAACTTACTGTAACATACCAGCTCAGTGTAAGGGGAAATATCGTAATTCGATCGTATTCCAATGTAGGAAAAACGGCTGCTTTTATGACGAGGAGCACAAGGCGAGGTAAATACTGGCAATAATTAAAGCTTATAAGTTAACTCTTAATTTTTATTTGAGTGAAAGTTTCTGAGGGTGATTGTGTTTTGGGTCTGAATGTCAAAAGAGAACGTCTGAATTGAGAAGAGCTTTTTTAGCTTGTGCAAATGACTAAGGTTGATGTCCATAACAGGTAATAATGTTGAGGAGAAATGATTGAATTTCTGTTTTTAAAAAAGTTGCTGGAAAGCTTCCTCTCCCTCCTCCCTCCTTCCCCGTGGGGTAGGAACTTGAACAAGTTTGAGCATAAAGCTGCCGCTGTATTGAAATGAAACCGGAAACTAAAGTGGCTACCCATTAGAGGACAATAACTTGTACTTTATGGCTTAGACCCTGTTTACACTGGCCCGGACAAATTTTGGAGTGGACCTGTGCAACCCGTTCACCAAAACCGTGCAAATTCTGTTGCAGATTGCAATACTGTTTGCCATTCAAAAACTTGGACGGCTCCATCCACAGGTCCCTTGTAAATGAAAGGTGGATCCGTGCATGTTTTTATCTGTTGAAGAATTTTGTTTGGACCCATGTAAATGGGGTCTTAGTCAATATTTCAGACCTTCTAATTCTCACAGTTTGATTGGGGACTCAAGGTTTGGGCAGTCAACTCCTGGTCTCACAAGTTAGCCTCCAAATCTCATGTTGAATAAGACTGGCTTGTTCCAGGCTCTCAGATAGTGGGGAAGACGCAAAAGTAAAACTCAATTCAGAGGAACCGACTATCTCGGAGCCAGGAACAGGCTAAATAAGGTAGATGGACAATTCTAGTAAGAACCGCATTATTTAAAAAAATGTCTTTAAAAGGGACAAATTATTTTGGTGGGAAACCTGAGCCAATTCCAACCTCATTGCGGTAAAACATAGGTTTGCTAAGGTCTATGGGAAAGCCTTATAGCATACTCACTTGGCTATATTCTCGCTGTCCTATCGACCTGAATAGTGAAATAGAATCTTCTCAACACTGCCAGAAGAGTAACAAAAGAGTGAAAGAGAAGAGCACTAATAGGGTAAAGAATACCATGACAAAAATAATCTGCCTTTTTGGTTTTATTTGACACATCTCCTGGTTTGAGGTCCCAATCTCCAGGTGTTTGGGAGCTTTTTTTCATACACTCCAGATTTGCACGGTTAAGGGGCTGTAAGGTCTGATCATATTGTATACAGGTGATGACCTTAACTCCCTGCCCCTCCCTCCCCTCCTCAGGCATTTGTGAACTTGTACTTTCCCGCAGTAAGTTGGGCCTTTACCATCAAAGTTTTGCTTGGGAGTGTGGCATTTATCTATTCTCCAAGCTGTGTAAGAATTTTTGTTTCATTTTCAGGCCTTGGCCTATTTAAAAGTACATGTAATTGACAGTATTTTGGAAGCCATTTGAGCATTTCAAAAATGCAAAGTTTTATCCTCACTTGTGCTTGCATAGCACATCCCACAAGATTCAACATTTCATTGAGAAAAGGAAGGTACAAACACAGAAATTGTTTTCATAGAGAGACCTATCAAGTCAGAACTAATGAATTTGGTGGTGAATTCCAAGGTTGCTGCCTTTAACATAATTATTTTATTGTAAATGAATTTGCCACTTTTAAGAGAATTCAACATAAATTATGTTAGGTTGTGGTAAATTCTGTCTGTTTTTCATATTTCAAAATTAAGATGATTTAATAACCCAACAATCATTTCCAAGGAAAGTTGATTGATTGACCTCCATGGTACTATTTGATTTAGTCACCAACAAACTTTTTGAAATGACGGTAAAAGCACATCGTTTTGGAAAGAAAGACCTTTTTTGGGACTAGCATGCATGAAATTGCCCTGTTCAGGATAGTGAAGACAAGACCTGGACTATACCTTGTGCAGCTGCATGTCCTGGGCATGTACAGACCAGAAAGGGAAGTTCTTCCCCTCCCCCCCTCCCTCTCCTCCAAGGATAAAATATCTTCAGTTGTCAACCCAACGTTCTGTGCATTTTGAATTATTTTGATTTATGTAATGGTTGTGATTTCTTTTGTCCCAAATTTAACTTTTATTTTGTTTAGAAAAACAGAGAAGGCAAGAAAGACAACAGAAAAACAAAGATATACAGCACTGGATGGCAAGAGTGAGTATTTGTTACATTTTAATCTGGTCTGTAACTGGGAACTAGTGGGCTTAACAAAGAGAGCAATTTGAAGATTCTGACTAGTTATTTTTAAACTTTGAGTTAAGGTGTTCATTCGACAAACCATCATATTAAAGCTCAGTTATATTAAGGATTTAACATTCTAGTGAAAAATATTTAATGATTAATAGTGTTAACAAATAATGATTACAAATTGAACAAATAATGAACAAAATTATTAGAGTTTTAAGTGGTCCAAAAAATGAAAAGAATAGCAAGTGACATAAAACATTAAAAGGTAAAAATAATGTGGAGAAAGTAAAGGATAAAATTAGCTAAAGTTGGACAGGAAAAATGAAACATTCAAAATGAAAAGTAACATAAGTGGCAAATAAAAAAGAAAATAAAGTGCAAATGAGGACTCTTGGCAAATTCTAATGTGCTTTTTAGCCATCAAGGGACATCAATAAAGTGTGTTACTGTACACATGTAATAATGTTGTTCTCAGTGCACTTCAAATCAAAAAAGGAGAACTTGGAGATTTTTTTTTGAGGTGCAGCATGTGCCACTAAAGAATTTATATGTTGTAGTTCAATTTTTTTTCTGCTTTAAATTTTTTTTGAACCAGTTCAAAATTTTTAAACTGGTTTTATTTTTTTATACCAGTTTAATTTTTTCAAATACGTCACTTTTTTATTTTACTCAGGGGGAGTTTATTCTATGTAATCCTTAAGTAGTGAATTAAGTGATTAAGATTAAGCACTCGTTTTACTGATTAGGGTTAAGCATTCATTTTACTGATTAGGGTTAAGCAGTCATAGGGTTAGGGTTAGGGTTAGGTAAGGTTTGGTACCCAATGCTTTTCCACTCAGTCAAAGAAACAACACCAGTATTGGTACACAGTAATGGCTTTTTAACTTCTTGAACCTCGGTAATAAGTACTACTTGACAAATTATTTAAATACACTACATAGCTTTCTTGCATGCTGCAGAAAATGTCAGCTCAGTAGTGTAATCAAGTTCAATGTTCTGAGTAGTAGCTGTGCAAGGATATAATCGGGTGGGTGAAATTAATGTGTTTATTCTACCAAATTTGGTCACAACACGTGCATAGGTGTTTACAATTTCTTCAACTTTTCCCAGAAGAAGATTTGAATGCAGAGGTGATGTCTTGTCAACACGGTCAAATTTTATAGAGACAATGTCTCCAACTTTAAATTTTCTAGGCTGTTTTTTTTTTGGCTTTGGGTTACCATTTCATTGTTGTACTTTTCTTGATTTTCAGTTATTTTTTGTTGTTTTCTGGATTGTTCCTCATGATGTTCACATTCTCTATGGCTTTTAATACCATAAACAGCCTCATATGGCGTCATCTTTATTGCTCGATGGTAGCTTATGTTTCTAGTATAAGCTGCTTCTGATGCTTTTTCACACCAATTTTGAACACTTGTGGAAGAGGTGCTCATTATTAATGCTCTCATATCCTCTTTCCAAGATCGATTTGATCTTTCAACCAAACCTTGAGTGGTTGGTGTTTGTGGAGAACCATGAGCCACTTGAATGCGATTTTCTTGACAAAATGCTTCCATCTTTTTGTTTGCAAATTCTTTACCATTGTCGGTAAGGATTTTTTTCGGAAAGCCATAGGTGTAGCAGTAGCGTTTGCATCCGGTAAGTACTTCGTCGGCAGACTTGGCCTTCAGAGGTGTTACGTAAACATACTCAGTATGATGATCAGTTATGTTCATGGCCCATGTGTGCTTCTCAGTACAATCACAAGGATAGTTGCGGAAGTCCATTAAATCTATTTCTAAGAGAGATAGAAATGTCGGAGATTGAAAAGGTTTATCAACAAGCTTAACACGGCTAGTAACTGACTGCTGCTCCGCATGAATTGGGCACAGGCCAACAAATATGGCTACCACCTTCACATTGACTGCGGAATAGTTGTTACTGATCCATTTAGAAGTAATTTGTCGACCACGATGAGCAGTGCGATTGTGAGCGAGGGACAACACATTGTGAATGTCTCTTTTAGGGACCACTTTTCTCTTGTTTTGTGTTATTATTGAGTTGTCTGAATAAGCCCACTGCTTTCTTATGACTGTTGATTTTTCCCACTTCAACAGCATGGGTTCTTCGGATTGAATTCCAAGCTGCATCTCAGTCTGGTATTTAAGATAGGCTTTTGCTTTATGAGGGTTGTCCAATACTGTCGACCAGAATCCAGTCGTATCCTCTTGCTTTCCATCGGAAAACCGGAAGTCTCGTGGTGTAAAGTCCTACCAAGTGTTTGGATGCATTGGACACGAATAGATTCCGATGGAAAAGTTCATTTTCTATTCGTGAGAGACTTAGAAAAATTCTGCTCATGTTGGATGAAGGGGGTGGAAAGTCGTTCCGATGGAGTCCATCGGATCCATTGGACACGAATAGATTCCGATGGAAAAGTTCATTTTGTATTCGTGAGAGACTTAGAAAAATTCCGCTCATGTTGGATGAAGGGGGTGGAAAGTCGTTCCGATGGAGTCCATCGGATCCATTGGACACGAATAGATTCCGATGGAAAAGTTCATTTTCTATTCGTGAGAGACTTAGAAAAATTCCGCTCATGTTGGATGAAGGGGGTGGAAAGTCGTTCCGATGGAGTCCATCGGATCCATTGGACACGAATAGATTCTGATGGAAAAGTTCATTTTCTATTCGTGAGAGACTTAGAAAAATTCCGCTCATGTTGGATGAAGGGGATGGAAAGTCATTCCGATGGAGTCCATCGGATCCATTGGACACGAATATATTCCGATGGAAAAGTTCATTTTCTATTCGTGAGAGACTTAGAAAAATTCCGCTCATGTTGGATGAAGGGGATGGAAAGTCATTCCGATGGAGTCCATCGGATCCATTGGACACGAATAGATTCCGATGGAAAAGTTCATTTTCTATTCGTGAGAGACTTAGAAAAATTCCGCTCATGTTGGATGAAGGGGGTGGAAAGTCGTTCCGATGGAGTCCATCGGATCCATTGGACACGAATAGATTCCGATGGAAAAGTTCATTTTCTATTCGTAAGAGACTTAGAAAAATTTCGCTCATGTTGGATGAGGGGGTGGAAAGTCGTTCCGATGGAGTCCATCGGATCCATTGGACACGAATAGATTCCGATGGAAAAGTTCATTTTCTATTCGTGAGAGACTTAGAAAAATTCCGCTCATGTTGGATGAAGGGGGTAGAAAGTCGTTCCGATGGAGTCCATCGGATCCATTGGACACGAATAGATTCCGATGGAAAACTTCATTTTCCATTCGTTAGAGACTTAATAAGATTCCACTCATGTTGGATGAGGGGGTAGAAAGTCGTTCCGATGGAGTCCATCGGATCCATTGGAAACGAACAGATTCCGATGGAAAAGTTCATTTTCCATTCGTTAGAGACTTAATAAGATTCCGCTCATGTTGGATGAAGGGGGTAGAAAGTCGTTCCGATGGAGTCCATCGGATCCATTGGAAACGAACAGATTCCGATGGAAAAGTTCATTTTTCTATTCGTGAGAGACTTAGAATGATTTCACTCATGTTAGATGGATTCCACTCATGCCATGAGGGGGTGGAAAGTCGTTCCGATCGAGTCCATCGAATCCATTGGAAACGGATAGATTCCGATGGAAAAGTACATTTTTCTATTCGTGAGAGACTTAGAAAATTCCACTCCTGTTGTATAAGGGGGTGAAAAGGCGTTCCAATGGAAGCCATTGTATCTATTAGATTCGAATAGATTCGAATGCCTGGAGAAGAACATTTTCTATTTGTAACGTCAGGTCAAAAATTGTCATCATGTTGAACGAGGTGGAAAAGTGTGCAACGGAGTCTACTGCATCAGTCTTTGCAGTGGAGAGGTTTATAAGAGGTCGGGAAAATGGGTATGTAATCTTAATTGTTTGGTTCGCGAGAAAAGGCTAGTGAAGTCCGATCATCCATCAAAAACTGCATCGCATCATGAGGTAATTTCTTTTTAAAAGCGAACTCGTATTTGAGATAATTCAGTATAACAATATCTGTGTAGCGAATGGCGGTAGCGATATGCGTTCTCTATTCGTCGAACTCCCGAATTTCGACATGTTAGTTCGTTGTTATACTCCAGGAGAAGTGAAACAAGTCAATTAGATTTGACAAAGTGAGCGTGCTACAGGATCAGGTAACGCGAACTGTTGGGAACGCGAAGGATGCGATCGAGGGGGACTAGAAACAAGAGTTGCCTGATCGACAAAATGGCCAAGATGGCGCATCTTTCGATCATTGACTTTCTAAAAGAATTTACGAGTAAAGAATTCGAACGGCTAGGAAAAGGTATATGGAATTATCTTAAATTGCACTGTTCCTTGAAAATGTGGAATCTTTCGATATTAAATCACAGCATAAGAAAGCAAAAACGTAACCTGAAGTGCGAATTTGGAATTCCTCCGAGGGAAGAATCGACGGAGTTATCTATTTTGAAACTCGTAAATGGAATCTCTCAGTAGGATTTTGGCATCCCTCCGAAGGAGACGTTTCAGAAGGGGTTTGGTATCCTTAGAAGGAGGTGTGTTGCAAATGGAATCCCTCAGAAGGACTTTGGCATCCCTCAGAAAGAGATGTCTTTTGCCTGAGATTTTGATCCAAAAGTAAGTAGCCAGGAAAATACCTGACTATTCATTATCCTCATGTACTTACAGTTACTATACGCACCACTGCATGCAAGTACATGCAAGTAGACCAGTTGGCAATTCATTATAATGTGTTAGAGCTGTATTGAAGTGTAGTTTTTAACATTTACTTACCCAAGTGATGATAATTGTGCAAGTCTAGGTTCGTTTATGAAATGGTTTGGAACTCCTCAGTTCCTTAAAAATGACGAATCTTTTCATAATAAAAGCATATTAATGAAGCATAAACCTTATGTGCTGATCAATTGAAAATTTTAACATTCCCCCTGCCCCCCACCCCGGGTATTTGACACACTATTTTGTGGTAAATTGTCATTGTTATCATTGGTAGAAATACGCCCAACTTACTTTTAGACGTCCAAAACACTCACCATAAATTAATCCACACCCCAAACTACAGGCAAAAGTACCCTGGGTGTGACACGGTGTGATCCCCCCTTTGAAAATTCCTAGCTATGCCCCTGATGTTTTGTTGATATTATATTTTTGACAGGATCATGCAAAACTGGAAATTTCAAATCTCTTTTCTGTAAATTGATCCTTTAGTTCCAGACCTTTCAAGGCAAGAAGGAAGGTTTTAAATAATTGTTTGGAGGGAGTTAGATTTTGCGATTCCCTCTTTATACAAAGAGGTAAGTTTTAAATTCAATTCCGGCCATAGTACCACACTGCATTACAAATCAGAATTTCTCAAGCTCAGTTGGAATTTGAGATCATATATTTTTGTTTTGTCTTGTCGCTTTACACTTGAAAAAAAAAAAAAGAATAACGAATGGTGCTGGCTATCCACAACGTCCATCCAACATGGATTTCAGTGAAATTTGTTTTTGCTTTTAAACTTAGATGAAACTTTATTGTGCGTTTAGTCGAGTGCACTTATAAATTGGGTCACGTTGGCTGTGTAATTTCCTTTTCTATCGTAGGTATGGCAGACAATGATAGCGACGAGGAACCGGTCTTTTCTTTAACTATATATGCTAGCTTTGGCAGGAGTGATGAGATCAGCTGATCTGACAATTTTAAAACCTTCCTTCTTGCCTTGAAAGACCTGGGACTAAAGAATCAATTTATAGAACTGAGATCTGATATTTCCGCTTTTGCGTGACCCTGTGAAGAATATGATATCACCAAAACATCATTGTAATGTTCTGTTTTTAAGAGCTTGGGAAGATCTGTAAACCGTTCAGGACATTTTTTTACCAAATTCTGACCTGCAACCTGCAAATTACACCCCTCGAGTGGAAATATAACCATGGCCATGTAATATTTTTAGAGGCAATAAAGATGTCACCTAAAATTCCAATTTTCCCTCACCTGAGATCATGCTCTGAGAACCGCTAAAATTGGACCTGATCTCAGGTTAAATTTTCCCATGGGCAACCAATCAAAAAAAGCAAAATATGTTGAATCGAAAATAATGATCTTTTTTAAATGCCCTCAAACTTACTCCATTTTCCATAAAGTATTTACTTTTTGTTATCTGCTATACCTGAACAAAGTGGGGAGAACCCAATCTGCAACATAAATATGTACACAATGCTATTTTCTGTCATGGACTTCTATTTGACAATGCAACAATCAAATATAACAGATTTTAGTGAAAGGATACTCTTAAAAGTTTATTATTACAATAACACGAGTAATAATTTGTTCATTGTAGTTTAGAGGAATAGAATGAAAGTCTCCAGCACGGAAAAATTAGTCTAAAGAAAGCTCTGATTTAAGACAAGAATGCATTTCAGCTACAGCACATACACCACATATAGCATCAGGTATAGAATATAATTTCTGCAAGTTTGTCTTGATTTTGAATAATAAACTACCAGAAGGTGTTAAACAAATTTCAGTAATTATGTTGGCATGAAATGACCTTGATACTATATTTTTTGCTCATGATCAGAGAGATTTTTCTTACAAAACTTTTTTTTCCAACAAAATTAATCTGCAGAATATCACCCTCCCCCTCCAATCAAACTGAGTCTGGTATTAGGGTGTGTTTTGCAACTCAGAAACTCTTATGGCAGTGGATAAAAGCAGATAGAAAAAGAAACTCTCTGGCAACATCTGATGTGAGGAATTCTTCTATGTTATTTTAGAAAACACATTCAAGCCAAAACAGGATGATCAAGCTATGTCCTCTTTATGTCAGATATTTGACCTCTACTGGGCCTCTTATGACTTGTCATGCCCTCAAGAGAAAAAGAGAGAAAGAAAATAGTTACAGTGAGGTACTGTAATGCATGTAACTGTTGACTTTGGAATTGTTAAAAATTTTATTTTAAGAGTTTGTTGAACAGAGCCAGAATTAAGGTGGCTTGACTGGATTTAGGGGGGATACCCCCCAATTTTGAGCATTAACTATGTCAGCATGAGTAAAGATATCCATGGGAAAAAGGTTACCCCAACTGTATTATATAAAGATGAAAATTTCTTATGATCTGGGTTTTATTGCAATTATCGGAGTCACCATGGCAATGTAATGACACCATTACATTTTTTATTTATCTTTGTGTTTCTCTGTACCAGGAGTGTTTTTAAGAAAACGCTTAAGAGATTATGTACCTGCCATAATTGCCTCAATTAAGGCATTTTGGAAATACAGTGTATTTTCAAACAAAGTTTTAAGAATCATAAAAGCAGTGAAATAGCATGCTATCCACACAACTAGCTAATCTTTTAAGAAAATCACAGCAACTCTTTCTAAAAGTTGCTGTGATGTTGTAACCCAAGTAAGATAATTAATTGTGAAAGGTTTGAACCCAGGAGTCATTTCAAAAGCAGGTTGAGTTTGATTGTCCGGGTGAACGTAGTCCTGAATAGGACTGTTGTTGTTGACAGTGACTGACGTTTCGACAGCCTGTGTGGTAGTCATCTTCAGAGTCAAAGTGAGTTGTATCACATCAGTTGATGGTATTATACTCTGGTTATTAATCTGGTTGGTCAATTACGTTGCAATGTTATTGGTCATCTGTCAGTTAAGCCGTGATGTTATTGGCTATGAAGACTCGTAATCAGTAATCGATCCGTCTATTGTCACAGTTAAACAGTCGTCTATTGTTAGTCAAATTGTCAGTTCTCCAGTAGTTCTCTCATACATGTAGTTAGTTGTATTACATCCTACATGATGAGCCGTGATGTTCACCGTTTCGATTCTCACTGCTATCCATGAGACAAGGCAATTATTAGCATTTTCCGGATATTTCTTTGGAAAGTAATTATTTAGAGTTCTTTTAAATGTAAATTTATTTCTTTTGCTAATTGTACATGTGCACATATATGAAACTTGAAAACAATGCCACTGAATAATGAGGACACTCACTAAGGGAAAATATGGTTATACATGGTTGTCAAAAGTAGCCGGCTGCCGGTGAAAAGTGCCACCTTCTTGGTTAGTATCGGCCGGCTACTCTGCTTGGCATTTCTTTGCAGATGACGTTTTTTAAATAAAACATCCCTGGACTGGCTGCTTACTTTGACAACTCAGTCATCTACTTCAAAACTTTCTGACAACCCTGGTTATATTAAAAGCCTTCACTGTTTTCAATGTTCTTGGAACTTGCAGGGTATATTTATTAACAATTGACCTTGAGATTGGTAAGTTTATGAAAAAATTTATCAAGTGCTTTTTTGAATAATGTGAAATTTGTAGGCATGGACCAAATTATGTGCAAAAACTGTAACAAAAGCAGCTGAATGCAGGTTATTGAAATTCTTCTCACTCGCGTTCGCCCAGAGCAATTCCCCTCTTTTTATTTGTACACAGTTTTCAATGGAATCAAATCATCATGATTAATCATTATTTCTTAACATATTAGCTAATTGTGTGGATATATAGCATGCTATTTCACTGTTTTTATGATTCTAAAAACTTGTTTCAAAAAATTTCCAAAATGCTCTCACAGAATTTGTTCAAACTTTGCTATAATTGAAGCAATTATAGCAGGTACATACTCCCTTAAGCCTTTGCTAAAAAACACTCCTGGTACAGAGAAACACAAAAATAAATAAAAAACATACTGGTTTCATTAGGTTGCCATGGCGACTCCATTTGCAATAAAACCTAGATAATAAGAAATTTTCATGTTTATATAATACAGGAATGTTGTGGTAGCCTTTTTCCCATATCTTTACTCATGCTGATGTAGTTAATGCTTAAACTTGGAAGGTATTCCCCCTAAAAAATCCAGTCAAGCCACCGTATTTAATTTTGTTTTCTCTGTCATACCTTTTTCTTGCAATCTTTCATAGGTAAAGAGAGATGAGGAAGTGAAGAAACCTATCAGGTCTGGTTCCCCCAATGACATTAGGAACAAGGAGGATATCTCAAAAAACGATCAGAAATCTCCCCTGTACCTACTAAAGCTGTTATCCCACCTCCCAATTCTGACAATGAAGATAACAAGTGAGGTCTTATTTGCAGAAGGCAGCTATTCCTGAAGAAGGCACAGATGGTGACAGGTGAAAGAAGGGCAAAGGGACGGGCCTTGCTGGAAGCTTTGGAAAGGCCAGGCATCAGTCAGCTTCAGGTGCGGGAGTTCCTAGAGCTGGCTGATGAAAACGGACAAGTGAGACCAGCCCCTTCAAAGCAGTCTGATAAACCTTTTTTCATTCCTGAGTCTCCTTTGTAATAGTTATCCTTTTAGTTCAGCTCGTCGTTGTTTTGTTGTTTTTGTTTTGTTTTTTATCCCATTCCTCTCCTGGGAATTTTGCGGAGAAACTTGTTTTGAAGCTAGTGGCTTCGTTTTGTAGTCACTGTTTGGCTTATGAGCTAAATCTTACCAGAAGACTGTTTAAAGGTCGTGTAGTTCACAGTGTTCAGTTACAGATGCAAATTGAAAATGTTATTTTCAAAAGTTGGGGCATGCATAGAAAGCATGAGATGGTTTCGTGGTTTTAAAGTAACACAGCTGCAGTCACAAATTTCGCTTTCCCTTCATTATTCGCTTTTATTGCTACCCTTTTTTTCTTTCAATGGACACTACTGTTACTGGCTTCATTTGGGTGGGGAAATATTGGGAAAGCTTTTAAATAGTAGAATAGCAGGAAGTGATTGGTTAATTGGAACATAATTATTTTTGCAATTTTTAAATCAATGTTACATGGTTTTTTTGTCTTTTCCTCTGGCCCCCTGTACTGAATATTTGTGCTCACTCTTCCTCTTCTTCAAAGCTTTCTTTGACAAGGGCATTGAGAATGGAATGAAAGCAGTGCAGTGGCTATAAAGCTAATAAAATACAGTGCATGATGCAATGCCAAAGAAAATTTTTTGTTAAGTACTGTTATGAGAGGAGAAGTAATAGTAAAGACCTTTACTAGCTTGTGGTTGCTACCGCAGGTGCTATGTTTCCCCAATGTAGGTCATGTGTGACAACATTTAGGGCATGGAAATCAAGCCTAGCCATGTGATGGTGCTCCAAAAAATGCTTTCTTTAAAATTGTGTACAAGTCACATCAATAATTTTTGGACACAAGACCTATATAAATTTTAAGGTTATGATGGGTAAATTGTGGTGAGAACACCTCTTCATTCACACTGGGGGAAAGCAAAACACAAGCTAAAAGGAATTTACTGTCTCTTCTTAAGATGTTATACCACTGTCTAATATTCAGCATAAAAGCTACAATCCTGCATTGAAAGTTTTTGGAACAATGATTGAGTATTTGTAATTTATTTGTGCCCTGGCTCATAGCCAGGTGCTACCCTTTTGAAAAATACCCTGTGTTAAATCTATCAATGTTTCCCCACACCCTTTACATATTGAAACTGTCTGCATATATCCGACATATTTCCTGTAGGGTGCAGAATAGGGTTGGGCATGCATGATTTTACATGAAAAACACAAATTAACTCTAACTTGTTATAAGAAATTTGTCCATGCTTTTCTCAACAAAGGTATGATTAATAGCAATCCAACAGAGAAGGATCAGTAAGCCTTGCTGGAAGCAGTGAAATATTGTTTCAACATGAGAAGAGAAATTTCATATTTCCGAGCGGCCATGCAATATGTTCCATTTATTTTATACCACTGAAATACTTAACCATTTCACTTATTAAATGAATAATTTTTTTTCTGTAAAAGGTGTGAGTTGTTATATTGTACCATAGCAGTGGTGATCTTTTGACATGCAAAGTAGACTACGTGTAGTCCCCATTTTCCTCAGGGATAGTAGAGCGAGTGAACGCGGCGGCGGCGTAAAATCACCCCACGCGAGAAAAAGCGCGGCGTGGGGTGATCTTCACGCCTGCTCGCGTTTCGCTCGCTCTACTCCCCTGAGGAAAAATGGGGACTATTTGTAGTCTACATGCAAAGATAACTTACTTGTTATTTTGACATGTGAAGATATCATGTTTTCGAACACAAGCTCACCCAATATTTCATTGGCGTTTATAAAAATATGATAAAAAGCATATTTCTTTCATTTTTCTGAATGGGACCCTTAGGGACCAGTCATAATTTAAGTTGGAGGGGGGTGGAGGAGAAATTGGGGGCCTTCAATTTTTTTTGGATGGAATATGGGGTGCCTTAAAATGCCAAAAGATGACCTTGGGGGGGTCTTCAAGTTTCTTTTAAGTAGCATCCCTACTGAGCAGCATGATGTTTGAGCATTAAAGGACCTGATTTTGATTCAGTTTTACACAAAGTCCTCAGATATTGTGTAATACCAAAACAATTTAATCAGCATTTTGACAAAAAGATTTAATGCTCAAATAGTAGGTGCATCAACACAACATCCATTATTGTGTAACACTGAAACAATTTCATTGGCATTTAAACAAATGATTACATGCATAAAGTCATGTTATGCAATCTCACTATCGGAATCATTATTTGTAGATGAGGTTGATGTGGACTCACTGTCTGTGTCACCGTCAAGTTTTTTGCTATTAGAGCATGTACTGCTCATATAAAAAGCAGTAGGCTGATTATCTTCTTTCTTCCTTGAAGCCGTCCTGTCAGCCTCTCACCTTTCGATGGCTTGTCTTATCTCAATTATAACACAATCACGAATATATCCTTGCTCTATAAGCTGTTTGAGAGGCTCTAGGTGAAATCTCTTTCTCAGTTTAGTGTGAAGTGCTTCTCTGTTGTTAGTTGGCACATTCGGAAGTGACAGTTAGTAAGAACGGTAAAGTAAAGAAAATGTTATTTGTTATTACCATTTGGGTATTATGTATAAGAAAGGGGGGCCCTTAAATCTTTTAACATGATTGAAGGGGGGTACCTAAAAAACATGAGTGCTATTAGTGGGGGTCTGGAAAAAATTTGGAATAAAAAACAATTTCTCCTCCATCCCCCCCTCCAACTTAAATTATGACTGGTCCCTTATGGAAGAGATCTAGAATCATCCAGCTTCAATTTCTGTCTACAGCTGGTTGATGTGTGAAGTGACCAGCACTGATTTATGTAATGTTTTATATAGCTTTTTATCACTTAATGTTTTTTACTAAGTATTTTCAAAACAAATAATAATTCAATATTGCTCAGGTTTAAAACTTCAGCTGTTCAATAACTTCATACATTTTGTATGTAATGTCAGTTTCAATGTTATGCCTACCGCCTACCAGTATGTTTCTTTTAATAATTCTACTCAAGTGTAGCTCATATTATAGTTACCATTAAAGAACGAAGCATATACTTGTGTACTGTCCTCGTTTCGCAGGGCTTTTGCCCCGTTTCATAGCTTTACGAGACTCGTGGCTTTAAGCGTGCCAGTCCGTCTCGAATAAAGGGCCTAGGGGACTTAGTGTTTAAAGAACGAGTTATGTTAGGTGGGTACCGTGCTTGTTTCGACACGTGGGTTTAAGAACGCGTTATGCCATTCGCGTAGCGTGCTCGTTTCGGCTCATTGCTTTAAGAACGAGTTATTATTTTTGTGTAGCGTGCTTGTTTTGACTCATCGCTTTAAGAACGACTTATGTGTCCGACGTCCGTGCTTGTTTCGACTCATGGCTTTAAGAACGAGTTCTGTTGCCTGTTAGGCTTGCCATTCTCGACTTAGGGCTTAAAGAACGAGTTATGTTACACGTTCAGTGTTCTTGTTTTGACTCATGGCACGACTAGACTTCCTGAGATTCCATTGGAATCGATGTGTTTCCAATGGATCCGATGGACTCCATCGGACGACTTTCCAACCCTCCTCTAAGTATTGTTTACACTTCCGGTTTCATGTCATGACTAAACTTCCGGTAACTCAAGTGGACTCTACTGAACTTCCGGTTTCATTTTTCGACTAGACTCCGTCGGACTCCAGGTTTTGTCCACTGGAATCTGGTCGAGAGTATTGGACATGTGTGTGCTTTATCGAAGAATGAATCCTCGATAAAGAGCGTTATCTGTGATTCGTTTTTGGTCTGTTTGTTTTTCAAGGCATCCAACTGCTCTTGGTACACACGGTACATGTACATGAGGTTCGGCCATGTTTCGAGCTCTAAGTCCCACTCTAGACCAAATGCGCATGTTTTTTACTGTATGAATATTTCAAGAACAAATTTGGCCGAGCGGAGGGGAGTCTGGGACTAATTACTTATAATACCAACAAATATTCATCGCTCTCCAAAGAATTCTACCGTGGTCTAATGGAGAGAATGGATGGCAACAGATCTGGAGGTTGGTGGTTCAAATCCTAGTAAGAACAATATCAAAGTGAATAAATAAGTAGCGTAGAGGCAGAGTGGTAAATAAATCAGGGGGGTAAATGAAAGATCCTGTGGGGTGGTAGGCTAGGATAAAAGAGTAAGAGGAGATGTGTAGATGATAAATTGCAGGAAAAGTTCCATCCTTCCTCCCTCTTCTCTTTCATCTTGCATCTAATTCTTTTTCAGAACCCCCCTTAAAAAGCCAAGCCCCAATTTTTCATCCACACCCCAAAAAGAAAAGGCCCTTTTTCAGACAGTTGATTAAAAACTGGTTAACAAAAATTAAACTGGTTCAAAAAAATTGAGCTGGTTTGGAAAAAAATAAACCAGAGGTTAAAATTGAACTACAACATATATATTTGTGTAGGTGTTGATGTGTATCATCACATCATCTTTAACCCTTATAGAACCCTACCAGAGGAGTAAAAATGGCAACTGGATTAACAGATTGGCCTTCAGTGTATTCAGGAGCCAAGTCATATCACCCATCAGTTGTACCTATTTTCTTTAGAATGGGGCGATTGAAGCACAATAGACCTGGATTTGCTCTCCCTTTAAGAGCACTGGGAAACCTAGAGCTTATGAAGGTATGTTAAATTGCTTCACAATATATTTGTACACTATGTCATTATTGTCATTATGATTAATAGTCATCATTGTTGGTATGATGATGATGATGATGATGATGATGATGATGTTTTCTAGTAATAGCCAAAGGTTACGGAGTGTGGGTGACAACGATCTAAGGTCAAACGCTTTCGCTACAATGCAGTGAGTGCTTTGCGCAGGTTTGTCGTGACAGATGGTCAAAACACACATGATCAGGTAACGAGGGGTAGAAGGTTGAAACACGTGTGATCAACCTGCGTTCTGTGCATTCCATTCATTTTTAGTGGAAGTCGAAATGAATGCTGGCCACACTCATGCAACCCATGCATAATTAACAACCTGGAGATTAGGATTGCGGGCTCTTCATGTTGCCCGCAATTATTATTATTATTATTGTTGTCATAATAAATTGTTATTATTAGCTAATTTAAAAGAAGTAAGTAACTGCAGTGTGATGAACATAAGAGGTACAATAAATTATCGGTGGATTTGGTCTGTGACTATTAATACTGTGCTACATTTGTTATTATTTGGCTTTAAAATTTTTTCTTAAAAATGCAGTATTTACCAATTGAAAACTAACATATTCAGCTGGTTAATTGATTGAGATTTGTTTTATGCATTCTCCATTTAGATACCCAACTTTTTTCACTTGAGTCTACCTGCCATTGAAAGGCATTGTCAAGCTTTACAGCGTAAGTTCAATAATTCTATCATTAATGATTTCAAATAGCTTTTAATATGAAATCATTTTGAGAAGCATCACTCTTTGCTTGCAAGCTGTTGTCCAGGCAGGTATATCTCTGGTGGAAGGTCTGAAGCAACACTTTGAGGCTGAAAGAGTTGAGACATCTCATCTCTTTCTTTTCAGCAAGTGAGGGAGACATCTCACTGGTCGAGTTCAATTCACTTAAGACGAATAGGTCCTTTGCAACTAGTCATTCACAGGGTACAAAACCGCCATGCTGGAGAGCAACGGATGCAGTGCGACAAGCCAACAAACACCATGTGAATGACAAGCTGCAAAGGGCCTGTTATGGAGGAGAAGCTTCTTCCTCACAGTCAGGCAACTGTTGCAAAATTGCATACTTTTCTTATTTTATTTATTTGTAACTTCATCTGTTTTGCTGTCAATGTAGCACTTTGTACAGAATGGCCAGGTTCACTCGAACTTTCATCAGTTCCTCTACGAATCACAACAAGAAATTATCTATTTGCGGGGCCCTCACTTTACCACCCAGGATCAAGAAAAGTCAAACTTCAGGTGTTGTAAAATGTTGTAAAATTTTTGCAAAATGTTCAAACCAATGGCAGTTTTAAGGACTGCTTGTAACAAGGTGATTGTCATCTTGTTGGTCCCAGTGATGGAGAATTTATCAGAAAACTTCTACCCAGGGGCTTTAAAAAGATATGTGGTTTTCGCTTTATCACCACCCTACCCCACAGTTAAGGTTTGAAGTTAAGGAGTCAATACCCTCCTCTCATAATTGATTTAACTGACTAAAGTTAACGGAGAGATTGTTCGCCAAAGGCAATGCATAGCTAATTCAATCTTTCCAAAGGCGGCGTGAATGTGTGATTGTAAAGTTAATAATATTAAAAGTACCATTGTTATTATATAAATGGTGAAAAATAAGATATTTATTGTTGAGTTTTGTATTTCCCTGTAAAATATAACATTTGCAGGTTATTTACAGGAAAATGCAATTTTGTTGTTGTCCCGGGGTGGGGCATTTGCACACTTTTTTTAGCCCCACCATGGGTTTTTGCAGCTTTTCCAAAAAAACAAAAATGATAAATGCCCGACAAAAACCCGGGGATGGATGGGCACCCTTGGAATTGACTGAGCCTTAACACTATTCGATCTTTTACCTAGTTCCCTTGCGACCGCAACACTACACCTCCCCTTTTTTAGAGTGCGGCAGAAAGTCCTTGTAAACAGTGTTCCATGTAAACGTTTGAGCTTGCGCAGACCGTTGGGGTCCTGTCCGCTTGCCTGTACTTCTGCTCCCGGCAAAACTGGAGATGGGTTGTCGGTTGTGTTGTAGGGGTACAGATCCGACGTTTTGCTTTCCTTTTTTTGAGTTTCACTTTTTGTTCTGCCGTAAAAGGGTGTGGTCTTCAATCACTATCGAGCTTGTGAAACATTTCTTCTTTTTTTTTAGGCTGCGTAATCTTTTATCTGCGTTTTCTTTGACGCGTCTTTCTCTTTTCAAGTGACTGATTCTAGCCATGGACCATTAGAATGCAAGGATTTTTGCATCGTGTTTCAGTTGTTGTTGTGTCTTTTTTATGCTTTTAGGACATCTTGTGTGTTTTTGAAAGTAAAAAGTTAAAGCAGCCTGTATGACAGGCGTTCGAAAGCAAGTGAACACCTCCAATTATTGTGCTATAACTGTAACATGTTTAGAAAGAAGCCAGGAAATGACTTCCGATTTGCGTCACCCACTTAGATTAGCCGCCCATGCCTGCTATTTGCAGGTAGAGAGCAATGTAAATTTTCGTTTTTGATGTTGAAGTGTTGAAATAAATCAAACCTGATCTGTAAACTTCATAATTATAGGTTTATGTAACAGATTTGGTTTTGGATGAGCATGCAAAGAAGAAGTTAATACAACTTGTGGGTCCTCGTTACAATCCCGACAATGATGAGCTCACCATTGTGGCAGACAGGTACATTTAGTTGTACAAAGTAATCGCTGTTTAGTGGTTCATTCAGACATGTAAACAATATAACACCTTGTAGCTCAACCTCTCTTTCTCGTTTAAAGAATTAGACCATCTGTAAAGTAGCCATTGTAAAACCTAAGAGTTAACTCCATATCTTTTGAGTCAGCAGGTGACTGACATTTCATGTAACACCCACCACGTAACGGTATAGCCTTGAAGTAGACTCATTTCCAGTAGTTTCCAAGGTCAAATTGGATGAAAACACACTGAACACAGTGCAGGACTTAAATGGCCGTCAGCCTTCCCAAAATCTCCCACGACCCCAATTTTTTCCCAGGATTTTATGTCTGTAGTTTACTTATACTATTGAGTTACCTCTAAGGCACATGTACGGCATATTTATTTGTTGATGTTAAACAGATTATTCATTTAGCATCGGGAGACAACAATGCTGTAACTTTGTAGGTACATGTAATTCTTAAACGAAACAACTTCAGAGCGATCTAATCCAGCTTTTTTTTTGCTGAGAATTCACTAGATGCCTATAACAGGCGTACATTGCAAAGCATTGGTGTAATATTTTGTAAAGTGTGATGATTTTTATAATCACACTTTTTCTATGCTAGGCGTATAGCCACTCCTGTCCTAAGGGACAGATATATTGCAGCAGTAACTTAAAACTCGATAGGGCTTTGCCTCAGGCATCCCATTAATTACCCTGCTTGGCAAAAACAGTGTCAGGTCGTTTCATCTTCGCTCTTTCGCTAACGTAAACTCTTATATCTGTCATATGTACCGGGTAATTTATGTCTCTTAGAGTGTGTCATTGAGAGAAAGCAATTTTCAACCAGTTTTCTATTATTTCGTTTTAGATGCCCCACACGGAAACAGAACAAAGATTATGCTATGTACTTGCTGACGGTGCTTTATCACGAGTCTTGGGTTAGTATTATTAATGTGAAGAGAGTATGTTTACTGAACTCTGAACTCACACCGGCCAACATCCACACGACTCTTACTCAACCCAATTACTACAGCTTGTATTTTCTTGGGGCATGGCTACTTTTCTCTTTATAAGGTACTACTTGTCCGTCACAGAATCGCTCCAACCTTTATGTAGCCAGTAGCCATTTATACACATCCTAGGTGGACGGCGAGTGTGGAACAAAGTATCTTGACCAGGGCTATAAAGAAAACAATATGAAACCCCAGTATTATATTGTTAGTACCCACTTCATACACCTTTGACAAAGTAATCGACTTGGTGAAGATAGACAAGAGCATAGAAATCACCATAGAGTTGGTTGGAACCTTCTTGTACAACAGCCCCTGTCTCTCATGGTCTCTATTACTTTCTACGTACAGAAAACCGAGCCATGGGAGACTGAGAAGAGTAACAATGTAGAGGAAAGCGAGGAGGAAGAAGAAGAAGAAAAAGCAAGGAAGAAAAGAAAAAATCCGAAACGTGTTCGACTGATTGATGGCACTCTGTATAGGATGAACCAGTATGGCAAATATTTTAAGATGCAATTAAAAGTGAAAGAATGAACCAAGGTCAAATACGAGCCTTATGATTTGAAGTCAGTTTGTGTTGTCACGAGACCAGCATATCTGATACAACGACTAGTCAATTTTACCTATTGTAAGTCATTCCTTATTGGTGCGGTGAGTGATGCTGAATCACCTTACCTAACAGAGCTTCTCTATTCCCAGAGGATTTATCAAAGCAAAGGAAAAACTAGTTTTATCTGAATCGTCTGAATCAACAATCTGTGAAGATATAACGGAGGATTTCAATAAATTTCTCAAGTTCATATGCATATCGTACATGTAACCAGTCGACTCGTGCAACATTTATATTCAACCCCTTTTTTTTCTCTCACAACCCAAAACCTACAGACGAAAACTCATGATGCCCTTCACCTGAAATCATCTTTTGCTCCTTTCTACATAATTTATGAACCTGTTATAGGAAAAGTATGGAATCGATATCGGATACACCGTCACTCTTGTTTGGGTGTCTTAAATTAATTAAATTCCTGAACATATCCGGTTTTTTGGATGAGTTGCCCCACTTCTCCTGCGCCCTGGGTCTCGAAACAGAAATATCGTCTCTTGTCTGTTTGCGGCTCAATTTCATCGGAGTACTTTCTGAGTATGAAGGGTTTAAAAGAGGATGCCATTGCAGGGTGGATCCCCCGCCGCGATTTGGAATCACTTTGACTGGTAATGGCAACATCATATTCAAGTTGACAATTTCTCAAATTAGACGATGAGCAGATGAAAAGTATTTGATAATTGTTATGGGTGATACTAACGTGAAGTAACTTATTTTCTTGAGATAGGTTAAACCGTGCCGGGCAGGTTCCGTGGGAGATGCTGAACTACTGACTGCACCTGGCTTCCAGGTTGGGGGTGGGTGAAGGGTTGATTATCCCTGCCCGTAAAAACACTTTTATTACTAAAATCAAAGAGAAACACTTCAGAAACACAGGGAAGAAATCTGGTCATGTGGCTTTCTCTCCTGTGTAACCTTCTTTGTGTCATAGGGAGGGAAAGGAAGTACGTGGGCGTAGCTCGCGCTTAATAATTTCAATTTTTTACTCGTGGATACCCAAAAGGAATCTCACGAGTTATTAGGGTGGGTTTCAGTATGCAAGTGTGTCACCTAATCAGGTGTAGACCATCGTCGGCTCGCTCATGAAAACGACATGTTGACGTTGTTGCCGAATAAACTATGGGCAATTTTGGGATTGCATTCAGTCACGCCAACTCGTGAAAGAATCCTGGGAACGAAGTTGTCATGCTCACGTTCGCTGCGGAAGCATTAACACTCGTTGATTCTATCAGTTTTGTACGTCGTGTATATTATATACTCTACGCTAAGAGTATCTCCAATCGTAAGCACAGCTGGAACGGTCTAAATTTTCAGTAGCATGACAAAAAAGAACCTTTTCTTTAGTAGGACTTGATAGATTGTGCTCGCAAAATGCTGCCAGCAGTGCTCGTATATTTCTAAAATCATGTCAATAATTATGATAGGTAATTTTAAAATATGCTCAGTTTAGCAAAAATTGCATAAATCTTGCTTTTATTTTTCAGTTGAGCTTGCTTTAGCAGCAAGACTCTACAAATGTAAGCGTTCCTTTTTTCTTTTCCTTTTTTTATGTGTGTGCGCCAAAAGGGGTAGTCATGGTCCCAGGCGTTCCTAGCGGAGACCATGGAAACTGGGGATAAATTTCGAGACGTGACCTACAACATGTCGAGCTTTCTGGAACGGGTCAGTTCACGAATTCTATCGCTGGAAGGCGTTGATTACTTTGGAACAACTGAATACTTAAGTGGTCGAAAAAAAGAAGAATCTTTATGAGCAAAGCTTCAGCGAAACTTGGAAACTTCCTTTGGGACCCAGGTCCCATGAATGTGATAATAAGGGCCTCTTCACATGAGCCCGGTTGACCGTGGTCGAACTCTGCTAAAGGCATTCCCATGATATGGTAAATGACATCGTTAGAAGCTGCAGTGGGCAAAGACGAAGAGCCATTTGAAATCTGCCATGCAGGTCGTCGTCGGGCTTGTTGGATATGAAATGATTATAGCCAACTCGGCGCTATGCGCCTCTTTGGCTATCTATCATCTCATATCCAACGTGCCCTCGTGGAATAATTGTTAATTATTCCTTTTAAAACTGAGATGGCCAAAAACCAAGAGCATTTGTGCTGGCATTAAATTCTTTTTTGGTAATGTAATTGTCTTTATGTACCTTTTTCCCAAATAATATATCTTTAGCTGAGATGTGGTTAATAACCACCCCCCGATTGCTACACCATTTAATAACTTCTGCCCAAAAACTCTGAGTAATCTGGCAAGAGACAAAAAGGTGTTCATGGGATTCATCCGCCCCATCGCACAGAGAACATCGTGGTGATGAAGAAATACCAATTTTGTTTAAAAAATCATTGGTAGCCAGATATCTGTGTAACAATTTATATTGAAATTCACGTGACTTAGTGTCAAGGGCAACCTGGTAGGGTAAGCTGTAAATTTCTTTCCAGCTTAAATCATCATTTTCAAAAAATTCAACATATTTCTTTTGCGCAGTTGGTTGGACAATTTCTCCGTCTCTAATTTCTTTATAGATGCCTTTTGAGTCAGCATTACTAAATAAAACTTCTTTACCAGATAAAAACAACTGAGTCTGCTCGTGAAGATCGAAAGAAACAAGGTGATCATATCCATAACACTTCAACACATGACGCCAGTCCTTCGGGAATGCGTCGATCACTGAAAAAAGTTGAAATGCGTCCAATGGGGATAAATTTAATTCCCTAAGCATGCTCGTTATGATTTCATTGTTTACAGCAATAAGATCCCCTATTCTTACAATTCCTTTATCTACTAATCGTTTGTTGAAAACAGCTTTACCACCAATTAAGATATAACAATTATTCCAAAGAATGATCTTTGAAATATCCACTGCATTAATATTGCCTAGACTAACCTTGTTTGCTGCGGAGCATCGCGAAAAATCCTTTAAACATTCCTCATAAAAGCCCGGAAGCTTGATAGGCAGCTTTTTTACATCGAAGTTGCAGCCGAGGATAAATTTGCCTCCTACTGGTTTTAGGTAATGGAGAAGAATAATTTTCCAGCTACTAAGGTCATCACTCGCGTAGCATGAAAATTATGCTATGGTAGCATTAATTTTTGGCATAGCATAATTTTCATGTATTTCTCGGAAAAAGCACTGCTAGTATAATTTGCACTTTTTTAGCTAGTTTTGAAGCAAAAAAATTGAACTTTATTGATCATGCAAACAATTGTTTGACCAGACCAGGAAAAAATAACGGATTCCCACTTTTGGATATTTTAGGGTATTTAAAGAATACCCATAAAAATGCCAAATTTGGCAAAGTGAGACAAGTCCCAACCAGGGAATTCCCAATCAAGTTCCCTGATTGGGACTTGTCTCACTCTTCCATGCAAATTTGGGATTTTTGTAGGTATTCTTTAAATTCCCTAAAATATCCAAAAATGGGAATCGGTTATTTTTTCCTGTGCTAGAGATAAGTGTTACCGGCAAATTTAAGTAATCATTTTTCTGTCTTCGTGGGACCTGGGTCCCACAGGAAGTGACGAGCACCTTCCCATAGGACTCAGCACATGCGCATAACTGGCTATATCGTGTCCTTGTACAAAAGGATCGCGGCCTCTGGGAACGAGATTGGTCCGTGTGCTTATTTTTTTTTTTTTAGCCTCCCACGCAGGCGTTTTTAGGGGAGCTCGTTTTTCATCCCTTCCCAAACATGGGAAAGGAATGTTGTTTTCGGTTGAGCAGGCGTTGCATAGTTATTGAGGCATTTTTATCAAATTTGAAGTAAAAGGAGAAGCATAGTTTCTGCATATTTTGCTAAAATGAGTATAGTTAACAAAAACTAGCATAATAATTGGCATAATTTCAGAAAAATACGAGCACTTCTAGTAGCCAGATACTAGTGACGGGCTCCTGTATTAGCATATTATGCTACTTTTACGAGCAATGTGGCAAAGTCTAGATATACCTTGTCTAAAATTTTTGGATGAGGGATGGGTGATATTGGGACCTGGGGCCTGTCAAGTGTAATAATTTTTATGCTTGTATCGTGTGCAGCCACGCGAACAGCTGACGCGAAATTAACGCGAAAGGGCCTGCCATCAGAGTAGTCACGTGGTCGAACTCGACCAAAGGCATTTCCATGGTATAATACATGACGTTGTTAATCCAACCAAACGGCACGTGCACGCAGAAAAATTCTATTTGAAAGATGGAGGTTCTTCCAGCGGAGCTTCATCCTCACGTCGACGCCATCGATATCGAAGAAGGTTTCCGCTGTTTTCTTCGTCAACATTTCATTCAATGATTTTCGTTGTCCAATCTCTCTAAATAATCTGCCATTTACTTGCAGACGGCACTCTAGCAGTCGCCTCCTCAGCGCTAACAGGTCGAAAATGGAATGGTTCGTTATGGTTGTTCAAAGATCGTGCTAAAGCGCCTGATGTTAATTACTGCAGTGCTGGGTGTTCTACTGAATCAGGAACCACAGATATTAAATGGATCGATTCCAGGAGATTGGTCCTTGGATGTGATTCGGGGAATGTTGACATTTGGTGTCTTAGTGGGAGCTTTCAAAGTTTGGAAAACATTGCATCGTTGACGGAACATGACAACTCAGTTTCGTCTGTTAGTGTGGATTGCATTAAAAGTAAAATTGTTAGTGCTGGCTGGGATAGAAGGTTTGTAATAATTTAATGTTTTATCTTTTTTTCTTTCGCTCGCTTGGGTCGTTTCCATAGTGAAATAATTGTTAAATTTATTTATATATGAGGATCTCTTGAAGCTGAGATGAAAAATACAAATGTATGCAGATCAAGGAGAATGTAATGAGGCTTCGTTGGATACCAACATTTTTCCTCTCAGCAGTTTCAAGATATGCACAGATCATTTTCTTGCAGATTTTCTTTAGAAGTCTTAAAAAAGCAACTGTCGAAATTTGAAGTTAGTCGAGTTGTTTTCTGGTCTCTGTCTGGCTATAAAGTGCTAAAGCTTACCACAAAACCGTTCACAGGTCGTGCACTTCGCGGACTTCTGATAAATGCCAGATGCAAAATATTAGCTTGCGAAGTTCAGGCATGCGCAGAAAGCAAAATTTGGAGGTTTTTGGTTTTAAAAGTTGACTTTTTCTCTTCGCTTTCTCTCCTTCCCTCTTTCTCTTTTCTTGCCTCAGTTTTTTTTATGCTTTTTGTCCGGCCTCCTGACCGAATCATGCCCATTCTGGTATGGTTTGAAAGATATGTTTCACGTGACTGTTAAAACTGATGACATCACAAGTGGTAGATGGGACATGGATCCTCATGGGTGGTCACGGGCGGTCCAGGGGCAGATGGGTTGACACAAGAGGCTTTATTTGATTACCCTGAATTTCTTCTGAAATTATGCAATTAGATTTTTTGGAAAAAATTGCTGCTACCTGCAAATGAAGACTGCTCATCACCAACCTTCACATTCTTTGAGAGGCTTCTGGTCTAAAGGCTGTTTAAGGCATAAGATAGTGAAATTTATTGCATACCCTTTTTAAGACTCATAAGCCTGAAAACCGAGGTGTGTTTCATCGATGCCCCCTGTGTATGATCTGGTGAAAACAGAGTGCCATTCTGTGTATACAACTCTGTCACCTTAGATCTTGTGAAACTAGGTTGTTAGAGTCACAAGAAGAAGTGGAAAAACTAAACTCACTAGGAGTGGAAACAAACATTGTTTATCCTTCCCCTTTTGCTTTCAACTCTGATAATCTGTCATAAGTGGAGTCAGAAGAAGATGGAAACATTCTGTTATTGTGACTCCAATTCCTTTGAGCTTTTGTTTTGCTTTGTTTTGTTTTTTTCTTTACCAGCTTTTCTGGACACAGGCCCGCCCAGAGGGAATAGGCATGAATGGCACTCAGGTCCCATGCGTTGAACCTTCCCTACCCAATCCCACAACGGGTATAGGTTGGCCATACCACCAGGGTCTATGACCCCTACACTTTTCGAACCATGGTGTGGGTTCTTCAAGAACAGATCAGTCAAAGTGCTGTGAGATGGGACTTACGACTTTTCATCCTTATCTGAGAAGACTAGAAAGTCTAACGATTTGCAGATATCATTACAAAGGCAGCACTTTCTTAGTTATTTAAAGACCCTGAGTGTTGGTGAAGCCAGGGTTTTTGACTCTGCTTATGACTCCGATTCTTTTTTTTTTTCTACTGGGCTATAACCACTTTTACACCTTCGGTTACAACTCTATCACTAGTGAAAACAAGTCTTTTTTAAAAATTACATATATGGGATTATGGAGAAATGTTTTGAATGAAACAGCTAGGGTGGAAATTCTCTCAAGGATGTGAATGATGCCACTATTTATTTCAATTTATGGATTAACCTTAATCTTTTTTACCCAAACCATTCTCAAATACAAAATGCACCCATGTCTAGGATGCTTTCAGTATTGCTGATCCTTACAGTATCCAGGAAGCATGACACAGCTTGCTACTGAGTTACCCGGTACCCAAATAAATGCTAGAGTTGTTCTTAGGCCGGTACTCTATTTCAAATTTTGATCTTAAAAACAGTTGATTAGAATGCAACTCCAGTGATATAATAGCAGAGAACTTCAACTTAATGCTCATTGATAATTATAATTTTTAAATGACTATACATTATTCTTGACTTGTTCTTTCAGTATCAAGGTATGGGATATTGAACAAGAAAGATGCATAAAATCTTACAGAGGTACATGATGTCTTGTTTACATAGGTCTGCTATTAATACTCCAACTTCTGTTTCTTACTTGTTCTAACCCTCCAGAAAAAAAGAACTCCTCTGTCCCTGGAAGGAGCACTGATCATAACAGAAAGGCTTAGAATTGATGAATATTATACAGCTGTAAGGTGTTTGTTACTTAAAATGGTGTGATCTGTTGAGCAAGAACATGCCCTTGGAAGCGGTGGTAGCCTGCTAAGCTAGCATTGAATTGTGTTCAGTATAGTAGTACTGTGAATGTACTCCCACATGGAGGGGGGCGTAAGGGGGGTCCGAAAACCGCAAAACCGCACAGAAATACGCCAAAAAACCGCAAACCGCATCGGATTTTTTCCCGAATACCGAAACCGCACACAATATGAAAGCTGACGTCAGCAAGACTTGTGATATATTCTGACTAGGAGTAATCGGAGCTTAGGAGAGTGCGTTCGATATGTTTGTTAGGCATACAAATAGCAGTTGAGACGAAAGGGTGGTTGCGATATCGATAAATATGATTATGGCATATTTTGAACGTATTAGGGTTGCGTACAGCGAAACCTCTATTTAAACTGTGTATCATAAGAAGGTTTTCAAAAGATATCGTATGGCTCGGTGTCAAGTGCTTTAAATCGGAGGAGACATTGGCCAGAGTGCGTCATAAATGGAACATTTTGTTTCACTGGCGCGAGTTACAGGGCGCAGTTGCTCAAAGGTCGATTAGTGCTTAACCCGGGATTCTTTTTCTTTCTTCAAAAACATTTCTTCGGATAATTTTCTCTGTTGTTTTTAAGAGCATCCAATCATCAACTTGTTGACAAAATGAATTACATTGAATTTACTTTTTTAAAAGCTTTCACATCTGAATTCAAACTTCGCATTAACCCTGTCAAAGCCTTCAATGGTACGAGTGTGCGGTTCACGTCAATAACTTTTCCAGTAATTTGGTCCAGCGTGTTGATTTCAGTGACTCGAGAGTGGCGCTACTGTGGGCTGGTTTATAAGTTTTTCCTAATAAATAACATAGAGTTAAAGTGTTCGTTTGTCCGGTGCCGAAAATATCACAAGTCATGATCAAATGGCACTGCCGAGCTTCACATCTCGGTAGATTTACTTTGTGGAACAAGGGCTGCCGAGCCACACAACTCGGTAGATTTACTTTTTGACACAACGACCGCCAAGCTACACAACTCGGTAAATTTACTTTGTGACATAACGGCCCCCGAACTTAACACGGTTTGATGCATGCACCAGGAGTCGCAGACATTTTCCAAAGACAATGAAGGGGCAAAGTAAAATTTAACAGCAAACTTCTGAAAGACAAACGCTTTAGACGATTCAGCAAACACATATCGATGTACGCTTTACGAAGATTCAGCAAACTTTTTAAAAGATGAACGCCTTACGAAGACAGAATATCAGACCTTAGCAAACCTTTGAAAGATGAACGCCGAGGACACAAGAATCACCACATGGATTAGCGCGTCAACGAAAATGCAATCTCAAAAAAACCTCTCTTATTAATTGCACAAGACACCCGATAATGCACACAACACCCAACACAAATTAGGAGTTGCGTTCTCGTACCTCGAACGCAATAACATTGTGCGTTAGTATTAAACATACCATCATAACGCTGACGATATATTGTACTACACTATTATACTCTATTAAGTACTAACCAAATGCCAAGTATGCTGGTCATGTACTTGAACGAGTATTGATATCTCCCTTGACTTTGAAAAACTATGTCACTGATCCTGTAGGTCTTACATTGGGTGACTGATTACTTTGGACGACCCTGTGCTAGTTGTGGAACGCGGAATAAATGTTTCTTCTGGAAATGTGACCTTGTCTCGTAAAGAGTTCACGTTCAGTGGAGAAGACGATTGTTAAAACGTACAGCTCTTCTGAAATTCTCCCCTTCCTTTCCTTCTTCATAGAAAATTGCCACGCAATTAATTTTTACGTCCTCTTCGCTTTCAGTTGCGACCTCGACGACCTCAATTGCCATCGTCGCGCATTGAATCAAAGCAACGAGAACACGACGCTGAACGGCTGTACGAGCTAACATCCGGCAGCTAATTTTTTTACGCATCACTGGCCAAAACGGTTAATCATATTAAGTATTAACTGGAAAAGGCCGTAACTGCAAACCACAGAGTTAAATTGTAAGCTGATATAATGAACCCTAATACGTTGTAAAACAAAACACTTGGCTCGCGCTTGCAAAACAACGGGATGCCGACCGTTCTAAAGAGTATTATCACCGCAGACACTTTTTTTCACCGAAAACCGCGACTTAAATGTTGTAGTAACCGCAAACCGCTTAGTGTTTTGAAACCGCAATACCGCGAGTTGAAATAAAAATTACCGCAAAACCGCATCACCACAAACCCTTACGCCCCCCTCCACATGTACATGTGGGCATACCGATGTAACTTCTCGCCAGGGAATAATTTGAGGCAGCACTTCAAATTTTAGAAGATTTGAAGCCTCTTATTATTACTGCCATTTGCAATAAAACATTCATATAATCTTCAGATATTTTTCCATGAGTTTATCAGAAGATGTGCTATATTTTTTTATGGTGTGCTGATATTTAATTTTTAGGTCACAGTGACATGGTATGGAGCACTGCTTACAGCAGAACTCAACAAGATTTGTTTGTCTCAGTGTCACAGGTTTGTCTCCATCAAAACTATTTTTCTTTCCTGATCTGCGGAACACAGTGGGCAACATGTCACTCTAACTCATTGCAGTGACAAACCACTCCTTGTGAACAGGTTGGGCAACAAGTTGCAGCAACACAATGAAGGGCCAAATGGTGCTATGTGTACTGGAGAATTTTTGTAAAATTCTTTGTTTTTGCAACAGAATTCTTTTACTGTGACAAGTCGCATGAGATCAAATTAGTTTGAATTTATGTGGGCTTTCACAGAGTGTTGCTGTAACGTGTTGATGTGACTTGTCACCTAGTTTGTGCCTACCTTTAAATTCTTCTTTTTCTCAGCTCTGCAGTGTCATGTACAAACTGACCTTTTGTCAAGAAAAGGACTTTTTCATATAAGTGCACAGCCTTTCCTTTATAGTGAAATGTTCATTACAGGACTGTTCTTCAGATCCATTAATGTTCAGTAATACTTTTTAAATCATGAAAACTGAGAATTTTTTTTCTGTAATTGCAGGATGGGCGGGTTATTCTTTGGGATACTAGAGCTCCGAAAATTGCTTCCAAGTTGTCAGGTTAGTATTATACCAAAGTTATACCAGTATTAAGTTAACTAGTGAAAGTCAGAGATTATACATATAGGAGTGCATTCAATCGCTTCTTTTGAGTTCAAAAATACATCTGTGACATGTTTTCTTTCAAATAATACTGTTTTCATGTTATTGTTTGTTCTAGGGCAGCTTTTTTGACAATTTCTTGATGTTGCAGATGATACAATCCTGATGACCACCAAATGAAAAGCAACTGATCATTAAATGTGACCTTCTTTGGGAAAACGTACACTAACGATATTTCGTTAAACGGTTAGACCGTTAGCTGTCCGTTAGTCATCCGTTAGATGATTCAATGAAAATCGTTAGAGGCGTTAGGCAATTCGTTAGCAACTCATCCGTAGCCGTTAGAGCGTTAGTTGTATCCGTTAGAGGTGTTAGTCAATTCGTTAGCAACTCATGTATATCCGTTAGAGCGTTAGTTGTATCCGTTAGAGCGTTAGTCCAGGAAACTAAAGCGTTAACTGACGATTCTATTGCTTTGCTGATCAAGGCCGCTGCCTTCTGGGCGCCCTGTCGTCAGAGGTTTCTACGATTAATTTTATTCGCCCGCGGGCGACCGAAATTATAAACAAGGAGCCCGCATCGGGCACCTGAAACTAGTGATTCTTGCCAAACCCGTTTCCCAACGTCCAGTGAACGAACGACACAATTCCCTACCCGTTCTACGCTTTTGAAACGAAAAATTAATATCAAAATGCTTGGTCGTCGGCTGTAGGCAAAAGATACCGACGATAAGAAGTAAACAAACAAGCACACGTCTTGAAATCCGCTTCTCTGCAGACTTCCGCTAATTGATCTCGAATGAATTGAATGGTTGCAGGAAAACCTTCGGTATAAAAGTCATGACCTTCTTCCCGTCTTTTTGCCTTTAGAAACGTTGCTGTTGTGTGTATTTTTAAATGAAAAGATGCAAGCAAGCAAGATCCATTGTTGGTTAATTGAAATTACACATGATATATGCAAATTTTTCTTGCATCTACAACTATTGATCAGATTGTTCCGTTTTCGATCTCGATACGAACGGTACACTCAGTTGACTCGGAGATTTCTTAGATCATTTATTCAGGTTGTATCTATGTCCTTCTCCTTTTTTGGTACGTTTTGTGGCAATTTCTTTTTAAAAGATAGACTTAGACGAAATAAAACAACTTTTCGTTCTGCTACACAACAGTTCTTTGTGTCGTCACGCAACGCTCAACACAAAGAATGGCTGTGGCTGTGTGGCAGACTTTGCCAAGTATATGTAACCGTCCTAAAACTTAATTTCGATTGAATGCCGCTTTAATGTAATGTGGGAGCCGCTCGTCGGGGCTTAAAGCGGCGACAGAAAGAGACAAAAAATAGATAAGAGAATATCGCAATATCACTGCAGCTCGCGTTCAATAAACAACAAAACTGTCCCCAAGTCCCAAGCGGAATCGGCACGCAAATGTATAATTTCCATGACAACAAATGACGCTTTAACTGGCGTGCACTTGTTTACTCGCGTGCATTACACGAAAGTGATAAAGTATGGCAGACACCGAAAGTATAGTGAGAGAAGAAACTCCTAACGCGGTAATCGAGAGAGCTAAAAAATTCCTACGTGAAGGCTGTGGATGTTCGCGTGGTTCGAAAGGGGGTCCCTGTTCAAGAGAATTTAGAGAAGAAACGGTGCTATTTAATCTCAATAACTGTCTCGAGTTGACAAGTGGAGAGCTCGACTTGATAATTTTAGCCAACATACAAGCTTTCACACGCAACGACTACGTTGGAACTAAGAGAAACGGAACTTCAAGATGCACGTATCAGTTTCAGTCTGTCCTGATTTGCAAAGAGATGTTTCTTCACCTTTATGGTATAAGTTATTCTCGACTTCGTCGACTCAAGGAACATTACGAGACGCATGGTATCTATCCGCGAACCCATGGAAACACCAAAAGGCTTCCCAGTAACACTCTTCCCCAGTCAACCACAGAGAACGTTCATAATTTTCTAACTAATTACGTAGAAGAGAACGCATTTGTTCTACCTGGAAGAATACCTGGATTCAAGTCCGAGGATGTAAAGGTGTTGTCTTCAAGCGAAACAAAAATGAGTGTTTGGCGTGTGTACACTGCCACTTGCGAGACTTCTGGAGAACAATCCGTTAGCTACAGCAAATTCGTCGATCTTTGGCAGCAGTTTTGTCCAAACGTTGTTGTGGCAAAACCATTGACCGATCTGTGCTTTACTTGTCAGCAGAATACAACCAAACTTGTACGGGCCGCAAACCTTCCTGAGCACGAAAAGGCTGACTACATAAAAGCCCAACAGGAACATTTGGACTGCGCCCAGACTGAGAGAGACTTTTACAGACAAACTTGTTTAGATTCAGCAGCGACTTTCAAGCAAATAGAAGAGGAAATGAATTTGAACGAAGAACATGAACCGTGTTCATTTAATGGCACCATGCATTACTCTTTTGATTATGCGCAACAAGTCCACTTTCCAAGCAACCCGATGCAACCCGGGCCGATCTATTTTAAGACCCCTCGCAAATGTGGAATTTTCGGAGTCATGTGCGAAGGTGTACCCCGTCAAGTAAACTATTTAATTGACGAAGCTGCGACTGTTGGTAAGGGGGCCAATGCTACAATAAGTTACGTTCATCACTTCTTTTCGCGTCATGGTCTGGGGGAAACAGATGTTCACTTAAATGCTGATAATTGTTCGGGACAGAACAAAAACAATTACTTTTTATGGTATTTAGCATGGCGGACTGCAACTGAACTTCATCGTAATATAAACTACTCCTTTCTCATTGCTGGACATACTAAATTTGGCCCAGATCGTTGTTTCGGGATTCTTAAGAAGTCGTTCAAAGTCAGTTTTATTTCTTCACTTTATGAACTTGCTAGAATGGTGGACACGTCAAGTAACGCAGGAGTCAACAAAGCTCAACTGGTAGCCACTCACGATGGCCGAGTCATAGTACCTGTATATGACTGGAGCACTTTTCTGGGACAGTATTTTAAAAAACTCCCGAACATTAAAAAATTTCACCACTTTCGATTTTCAAAGGATGAACCAGGCGTCGTCTACTGCCGAGAGTTTTTGTCATCTCCGGAACAAGCTTTTTTTTTACTAAGGAATGGCGTTGCTATCCCTCCAGGTTCAGTGCTTCCACAAAAGATCAACCCAGAAGGTTTAAGCGAGGAACGTCGAAATTACTTGTATCGCGAAATCAGGCAGTTTTGTAAGCCTGGAACGGAAGACTTAGTTGCACCAGTTCCATGATCATTATTTTGATATCTCTGTAGATGTGACTTTTCATAATTCAATCCAACGCTGTAAGAGAATTAGGATTATTATTGCAGTTATTGTATATACACCAGTCGTACTTACTGATGTAATAAAACAATGAAGTTCTACTGAGTAATTTTTTGCGATATTTTCTGTTGTTTCTTTTAGCAGTTATGTTCAGTTAACTAAACCCGATGTATGAACCGAGTGAAACACGGTGTAGTCAATCGAACTTTAATGAGTATACCCTTAATCCTGCATGCTAGAGATAATGGCTTTACGTTCCTCTAATAAATCAGGGATTACAGATAAGGGTACACTATTACAAGTTCTGATAGTTCTAAGACAAAAGGAAAATTTTATTTGCATCGTTCATTGTGGCGAGTTGGTGAAATGGTGCACAATTAGGAGATCTTGAAGCTCTTTTATTGTCAGATATTTCAGGTGGTAGGGAAATACCAACAAGCCCTTTATAGATCTTGTAAAACATGAACACTTGGTTGATCAATTTTTCGGGTAATCGGGTTCAACGGTACTATTAAGTTCGATTGAGTTTGCGAGCATAATTAAATAGTACTCTTCATGAGTTCGATTACCGAATCAATCGAACTTGATTGAACTTATCTAAAACGATCGAGCTCAAAAATCGTCGGATTAAGTTCGGTAATCGAACAAAATTAAACTCTCGTTTTCTAATACTCCGACTAACGAAACAAACAAACTTAATGAAACGAGTCAAAATAATACCGAGCTCAATCGAACTCCTTCGGCCGTTAGGCATTTTAATTTAAGAAGGACTAGCAAATTTAGCGTGGATGGCTCTGACCCGACAGCACAACAGTCGATCGGTATCAAAACGGACCGCTGAGGGAACAATTTCGTCCTCAAACAATGACAACAATGCGTCGGATCGAAAACCACCAACCACAAATTAAAGAAAATAACTAACACGTAACACAACCAATGAAGTACCTCGGACTGTCAACAAAGGAAGCACAGTAGCCAATGCGTTTCGGTAATTATGATCCTTCGCTGATAATAGCAATCCACGGAAACAGAATAAAAGGTCTCACACATAAGATGAAACTTCATTTCTGTTCGCGTGCCGGATGATAATGGCTCTTCGAAAATTGTTGCGCGAGACAAACTTACCGTCAAAAGCTCTCTTCTTCTTTCCCGAAGATAATATGACTGGAATTGCCCCTACAAAAATTATCTTGCAAAAAAATAACGTTGTTATTGGAGGAACTGTTACTGTTAACTGGCAAGGGGAAAGAGTGGAAGCTGAAATCATCGCATTAAGTGGTAAGTAAATTAAGTAACTGTTAACTGCGTTTTTCTATTGCAAGGTTTGCCCTTCTACTGGATACCTGGACTTACCATGTTTTTTCCTTTTCTCGTTGTAGAAAGTACCGACGAACTAAATGAGAAGGATCTGATTTGGTCAAAAAGGAATCTTGAAGAAACTGCTCAAGTTGATTACGGCAGTGCACCAAACGAACCTCCGAAGAAGAGATCACGACCAGTAAGTTTGGTTAATCTGTATGATCAGTATTACTCCTATTTTGTTCGGTTACGCGATTATGACGTTCTATTTAGTGACGTTTCTATTTCGTGTTACAGTCGATTCCCGATAACTCGAACCTTCAAGGGAAATCGAAAGAAGGTTCGAATTATCGGGAGTTCGGGTTATCGGGAGTTCGAAGAAAATAGCCAAGAGTAAGGTAAAAAACAGTTTTTACTGCACAGTGAACATTTCAATCACATTTTATAGTAGAAATGTCAAGTGAAAATTAAAAGATACTTCTAGATTATAAATCAGAACGTAACGTAACAAAATATAGCCTAAATAGAGCATGCGTTTTACTGTTTTGAGAAAAAAAGCTGCTTCACGTTAGCCTGTGACAATCAACATCGGCCTCCATTAGTAAACTATACTCCTACAACACGTCAATAGGAAATCCAAAATTCAATGTTTCGCGCGTCCGTAGACGGCTTTTTTCCCGACTTTTTAAGGCTCAAAACATGGTTCGAGTTATTGAGGGTAAAATTATATAGAAAATGACCTGAGGGGAAACGAAAATTGGTTCGAGTTAGCGGGAGTTCGAATTATCGAGGGTTCGAGTTACCGAGGGTAAACTTACAGTGAATGTATGACGGAAATCCAGGGGAAATCGATTTTGGTTCGAGCTAGCGCGAGGTTCGAGTTAGCGAGGGTTCGAGTTATCGGGAGTCGACTGTATTACTAATGTTAGTAGTCTGACTCAAATGTTAATGTGTTAACTTAGCACGACCTTTAAGCCTTAGTCACAAACTGAAATAAATTCTCTTTTATTTCAGGAGAAAAGTAATGCCAAGGAGAAGGCGACAAAGACGAAGGAGACCACAGAGCCACCATCTACCGCGACAGCTAAAGTGGTGGATTTGAGAAAGGAAGAGGTAAATATTTTACCGGTAACTATACATTTCAAAAATTTAAAGTTTGATTTTTTGATTTTGAGTTTGATCTTCCTTGAGTGGTGTTTTTCTGTCATAAGCGTAGTTCCGGTTACAGCCGTTTTTAGTCAATGATTATAGTCCGAGTAAAGAAGCGTTTTCACATTTTGATAATGTAGCTTAAACTGAAACGTTTGCGGAATTTTATGTATCTGTTTAACTCGCGGTGACTGAAACTAATACTTCTTTTTTAATTTTGTTCTTTAGAAAGATCACGTCGCAGGAGACCCATACGAAGAATTTTTAAAGGAACAGAGAAAGAGGGAAGAAGACCTGGCAGCTAAACGTAAAAGCGCAACCAAGAAACTGAACCCTCCTGATTCTTCCCACGACGTCATCATGAAAAAAATTGATTCTCCAGACAACATCAGCCTGATTAAAAAGCAGCTTGAAGCAAAAACAAGAGAGTACGATCTTCTAAAGAATCAGATCCTGGATCACGAGCGAATCTTCAAGGTAAGCACAAAGCAATGTAGCTTCTTTATTCTCCGTCAAGAATCAAGTTGCAGTGGTTACCAAAAAATACTAACACGCCCCCTTAAACAAAGCATTAAATGCAGTTTGTATCGTTGCTGGAAGTGTGTCTATATTTATGCATTTATTTATTTTGACTTAAGATGATGGACAGATTCGAAGATTCTCTTGTCACATTGGGGGAGACCTTGGGGCGCAGGTTGTCACGGATCGAGCAACGGCTAGAATCTTTAGAGACCGTGGTAAGTTAAATAATAAGGCTTAAGCTGGATTTCCACTGTCGCGTAATTTTTACGTGCGTGAATGAAATAGAGACAATGTATGAAGGTCACGCATAAACGTAAAAGTTGAACCTCGCTAAGGCGTATTGTAGCTACTTCCTTTAGTGCACAGTTTTTAAAAAATGTAGCAAAATTATTCAGTGCGCTCGGCATAAGTCAAATTACAGCTGAGAAAGAGTTACTGCTCAGCTAGACGCCGGGCCTAAAACTTGGAATTTAGCACACAATAAGTTTGGCCTCTCGGAAACGCCTATTTCAAACTAACGTACCGTGTAAGCATTATTTTCCTTTTGTCCTTTTGAATGCAGCTCAGTTCGAATAAATGGGCTTTGGAATACGGGAAACACAATAGTTACGATTCTTTTTCTTTTTTTTCCTATAGTTCAGGAGTGAAGAGACCTACAACTCTTCCGGCCTGTTGTCGAATCAAGAACTTTTGACGATTGACATGGATACCATGGCAACTTTACAACACGACGAAGTCAACGCCAGCATCCCAGCTACGCCAGCAGGCCCTGCTACCCCAGAAACACCATCACGGCCCGTAAACGCTGACAGTATCATGGAAAGACCTGAAATCCCGGTGGGAGAAGATGTAATTCGGACTTGCGTCACTCCAAGAAAAGTGCAAAGCGTATATGCAACATTACAGAAAGAAAAGGAGAGGCATAGATGCGCAGTAAAGCTGCTCCCATACTTCTTTAGTGATGAAGAACTCAAAGGAAGCAACACTGATGGGACCCACGGTAAACATCCGCTCGACAGCAGCAAGCTGAATTCTCTAAGAGTTTTAGTTTTCAGTAAATTTCCAGTTGAATGTACTACAGAAAGAGATAAACTGTGGAGACAAATCAAAGCCAAGATCAATGATAGATGTCGTGCTATCAAGTATGCTAAAAGGGCAAACTAAGGAAGAATTGTGCAAAAAGAACTTTGTAAGCGTTTTTTAGGATTTATTTTCAACGTTGAATTTTTTTTTCTAGAGGACAGATTGTAATCGTTGTAGAACAATGTCGATAATAAAAAAGATTAATGCACTCGCGAGTTGCTTTTTATGCTGATATTGAACAGAGGCATGGGCTGGGAAAGGTTTGGGATTTTAATTTTTTTTCCATTTGATTTGTAGTCCTAATAACTGAGGCTCTCTAGTAATTAAAAAAGTCTACAATCATTCAATACAGCTTTTATTCATGTGTTGTCCGTCACACAACGCTTCACTGCGTATTCAAATTCCCGGGAGTCAAATTTCAACCGAAATTTGCATAAAGTTGTTTACGAAACCGATACGGCATCTTGTCGAAAAACTTTCATCAGACATCGAGGGGCTTGCTTGATATAGTTTTTGGAAACATTACAGTCCCAAGTCAAGATACGTGTTTGCAAACAGTAGTTCTTGTCAATACGATGCAGTAGAAGTTTCATTCCAGGAGAAATTGGACGGCCTGTTTTGAAGCGCAGTCGTTTCGAGAGCAAGTCGATTTCGATTATTATTTTACTCGTTGATCACATCACTAGTGATTTTGATGCTTTCAATTTTCAGCCGTTTATCGATCGACAGCTGTACTTAAAACTTTCGCTCAATACATTGATAACAACAAGATGAACTAACCAGCCGTTAATAGATTGCTTAATAGGGAATAGCGCTCGATTACTTCCACCAATTCAACTGTTAGAGCGTTAGAACAAATCGTTAGAGCGTTAGAACGAACCGTTACAGCGTTAGAACAAATCGTTAGAGCGTTAGAACGAACCGTTAGAGCGTTAGAACAAATCGTTAGAGCGTTTGGACAAATCGTTAGAACGTCAGAACAAACCGTTAGAACGTTTGGACAAACCGTTAGAACGTTAGAAAAGCCGTTAGCTATCCGTTAGCTATCCGTTAGTTTTCTAACGATAACGAAATATCGTTAGTGTACGTTTTCCCAAAGAAGGTCACAAATGATCAGTTGCTTTTCATTTGGTGGTACTCCATGATTAACCAACCAACGATACTTCTTGAACACCTAGAAATACCCCTTTTTAACATTTTTTCCCCTTTAGATTCCACCCAGTACAACAGTATCCCACGATGTGTAGATTGGAGTCCATTAGACCATAATGTTCTTGCAATTGGTAGGTGTTAAAATAATTGTCCCACCTTGGGACAAAAAGAGGTCGCTAACACATGGTAACTGAAAAATTGTTGTAGTTACTGTCATTTGACCAGATTGAGGTCAAAAATATGATTTTTCTGGTTCTGACAAACCTGACAATCACACTACTGAAGGAAAAGGAGAATGATTTGAAATTAGAGAGAGAGAGAGGAGAACAGAAGAAGGAAAAGAAAAAACTGAGAAAGCAGTTGTCGCAATCTTAGATATTGGCTTTATTAGAGATGACCATGGTGACATTAACTGGTTGCAAATGAGAAAAGAAGGACCCAGAGCTATTGTAAATGATTCTCCAAAACGAGATGGTCCAAAGCCAAATGACATGAAATGAATCGAAGTTTGCTTGTCCAAAATGGCAGTTTTGAAAGGCTGGCAGAATTCTTTGGAAACAACTTAAGCTGGATTGTTGAAAACATGGCTGCCAAAAATTGTGGCTGTTAATATAAAATGCAAAAAAGCGAGTTTTTTACGTGTAATAAGCCGGGAAATCACCCCACAGAAGTAAAGTGAAAGGAAAAATGGAGTGAGGGAGGAGAAGCGAAACAAGCAATGGCCACACTCTTAGTTTTTACAATAACTGGTTTGGAGAAATTATTTATGGACCAAGTTTGTTTGAATGGCATGCCAGATGTCAAGGCTCTTAAAGCCAAATTTGAACTTGAAAGCCATTATTGCCCTTCTACTTGGTGAGAGGTGCACATATATATAAAATTAACTGTCTTTTGTGAATTTTGATTTTGGCTCTAATGTGGCCAGTGAGATATTTGAGCTTATATTCTACCAGCAGTTCCCTTTGTAACTGTATTTATCGTTTATGCTTCAGGTTTTGAAGATGGTTCAGTCTGCCTTCATAAAATCCTTAACGCTAGACAACCTGTTATAGCTTACTGTCCCCATGAACGAGCTGTGAACAAATTAGCTTTCTCTCCTAGAAGGTAGGTGAACTTATTTTACTTGATTCTAATTTCCCTTTCCTCATACATTAAGAAAGCAGGAAGTAAAACCTGTCAATGCACACTGAGCCAAAGCTGTTCACCCCCACGCTCGAAACTTTATAATATTATTATGTGGCTACAATAGGAGGCACTCTCTGTCTGGCTGTTTCCTGTAAATACCAGGCATTACTAGCCAGGGCTGAGTTGCTCAAAGCATGGTTAAGCAGTATCAAAACCATTACGTTGTCAAGGTATTAAACGCTGGTTAACGCTAACCATGCTTCGAGCAACTGGGCCCAGGTGTCCAAGGCATTTAACATGATAGTGGACATCGTTATGCAAGCCCTAGGATTTCACGGTAACAAAAGTTTCTGGTACTGTGTTGTTACCATGGTCTTAAAATAACAGAACCAAAAAATAGTTTCTTAGTGCCATTTTCAGCCTTAGGGATCCATTTACTTTTTCACACAGATACTTTACTAAACTTTTTAGGTCAATTCTTTAGTTACAACTCATATACGAAACTGAAATGTTTCACATCTGTCAGTTCCATCTTGAATCATTCCCAAATAGTATTATATACTTTAATGGTTTATGGCTTCCAGGGCCAAGGAAAAAATGTATGACTTTGAAAAATTAAAAACATTTACAGGATGGGTTCCCATGAGTTTTCACAGAACCAGAACAAAATGTTACTGATCGTTTCCCGTGATCTCTGGGCACAGAACCAAAAAATTTTTTTCCATGGGAAATGAAATCCTAAGGCTTGCTTATGGACATCCATGGTATGGTTGATTGACAGCTGTCAAAAAAGGTATCCGCCGATCAGTGTCACCTGACTGTATCGTGGGCTCAAGTGTACAATTCATTGAGGTGATGTGGGTTTTTTTTAAGTCATCCACTGATCAGTTGGTTTTAATTGATCGCAGGCTCAGGTCCATAATGAAAAGGCAATGTAATAAATAACTTATTAACTTCGTCCATTTGGTCATCACTTCAGCCTTGGTGTATTGACCGCACTATCGTACTGTCAATACATCAAGGCGTCAGTCCCAGATTTCCTGTATTCACTTCACTTTAGGTTAATAAGTGGTATATAGTAGAGGTGTCTGTGTACTACTCAATGACCACTGCCCAATAACCACTTCCCCCCTAACGTGATTATAGTCCATAGGAGGATCCCCTCCCCCCAGCCCCTGAAAGGACGACAATGTGGAGGAAAGTTTCTCTCACTGCTAATGAAAAACAATATGATGACAGCCGAGCCAAAGAAAAAGAAGCTGGCCAACCTCAAGATTCGGAAGTCTAACCTGTTAACTACTCAACCATAAGGAACAAAGGAAAAATGTTAATTTAATGTTATGACATGTATTGCAAATAATTATTGCAAATAGCCACGCGTAAATTATATTGTAGGAGAGGGGAACAAAGACTCAAGGCTAAATATATTCTATTTGTGATAAACTTTTATGCAGTTGTTTATTGATGTAACTTTAATTAACTAAAAGCTCCTTCTTCTTTTCATAAATATATAGCCCTGATTGGCTTGCGTCTGTATCAGACGATATGTGGGTTCATGTACAGGATTGCATTCATAATACAACTGTGTAAGTATTAATACAGCAGAGAGAACACATCTCACGTAACTCTGAATATGGCAGACTTACATTAACTCAACGCAGTCTACTTAGAACATGACCATTTTTTGTTTCGGTTTGAGATTTAATCTGGCATTAAAAACTTCTGTAACAAGCTATGCATGTACAGTGTAAGCGACTGTAGGAATTACGAGGTCGACTGAGCCGAAAGTGTGAAACTTTGCTGATACAACACCATCCAACATTGTTGGACCCACAGTAACAGCCCTTCACTCTTACCTTCACAGTCTCAGAAGTGATGAGCACACAGAGGTGGTACGGGGCCTGGCCTGGAGCCCAGTAGATGACACTTTGTACACGAGTGGCTGGGGACAGCAGATATTTAGCCACGCCTTTGACAATGGCGAACCGTCAGACCTTAATGTCGAAACCAGCAAATCACAAGCTACTTCGGTCTGTATGGACATTTTCAACGGCGATGTTAACGGTAATGGAATGTCTCAAGATGAGGAAAATGGCATTGAAACAATGGAGGTTGAAGGGCCAGAACAGATTCAAAAGACTTTACCCTCTAAAGTGGAAACAGATAGCGCCATTGTGACTGCTGCCAGCTAGCACCTTACTTATTGTGCATAAATTCCAATGCTATAATAATAACATGGAAAACTCTTTCAACGCGAAGGGGCAAAGGGCAAAAAAAGAGATGAGGAGAGAACTCATTTGAGCCCCTGGAAGGGTTTGCTACTCTTTTTTGAATGATTTTTGTTCTTCTCTAAGTGTTTACTCTCGCCAGCTAAAGCCCCTACTATATTGAGGAACAAACACTAACATGGAAAATACTGCCCAAAAGCTTTCATTTCAGTGACCTAGTTTCTCTTGACATAGTCACCAAAACAGTTTGACGCTGTGAATGAAAATCCCGGTGCCAGGAGTGCTTAGTTCACTGATTTTTTTGCTAGTTCCATGTTATCGGGTTGCAATCATCTGCTCGAAACAAACTTTGCCCTTCGACTTCTCTGTGGGAAAGGAGATTTTTGTATCCGTGTGGCATCGCAGGCGGCCCAAGCTCATGTCACTGGAGAGTGTGAGTCACTGGAGTAGAGAACATGGCAAAAATATAAGACTCTGTATGGGGAAATTTATGATATGCTCAATACTATAAAATTCTCAATAAAAATAACTTACTAGGCCCCTTATTACGTGAGAGAAAAGGGATTAGCATTTTGTCAGATCTCTTCTTCGGAAATGCTAATGTCAGAGGGTTTGCCTCCCGTTTTTAACTCAACAAAGCTACATGTAAATGCGAGGAGCGCAATGGGTTCATATATCTGTATCGCCCAATCATTTTGGGCCTAAAAAATTGACCTTCTCCCGGTCGCTATTAAAGTCACTATCAACGTCGACTTTAAAAAACAGTCTCCTTTATTCTTAAGTGTTTAGTGTATTAAGTTGTTTGTATTTCACAGATGACAGTAAACACTATAATCGAGCGTTAGGTAAAGGATCACAATACCCTGAAATGGAAAACCTCGTTCATTTGACAAATCAGGAAGCCGAGAGCGAGTGACGTCAAGGAAAAAGGATATATATATTTTTGGAGTTGGCAGGTGTTTGGCGTAGATTTCTCTTTCCTCCTTGAAGTTTCGATGAATTTGTTGAAATTTGCAGTACTGTTTTGCTTGATTTTACGGTGCAAGTTTATTTTTGGTAATTGACTTTTGGGTAATATTACCTTCAACCCAAGCAAAGCGGCATAGATTGTAATTGGTTAATTGGCTAGACCAGTTAAATTGCTCTACGGTAAAACCCAGCGACTATATTTTTCCAAGTCAGCTTAAACAGGTTCTCATATAAATGGTCGTTTGCATTAGTTTAGCCTACTTGGGTTCTTAAATAGGTTCTTATTTTCTGAAGAAAAAAAAACAATATAGCTAAGAGTATTAAGTGGTTCAGCTTACTCCTCATATAAAATCTGCATACATTACATTACAGTTGGAGTGATAAGGACCAATGTCTCCAAAGAGGATTCTGAATGTTGAGTTATCTTATTTGCCTAAGTGTACATAACTTTTTACATAAATTGTAGAAAATAAGAATCTGTTTCAAATTTTAGGCTAAACAGCTTCTTGTCGAGAGGGGGATTAGCTGGCAAATTTTGGCCTAACGGGTTCTTTAAAAATCCAGGTTGTTGCTTGTCGGGTTTTACTGTATTCCTCTTCATAATTTTGATTTCTTCATGTTCTCTCGTAATCCGTTTTGGAGGTCCGTTAGGTATCTAAAAAGAGATGCAGTGGGGTAACTGTCTTATAGTTTGTTTCACGGCTTGTCTAACTTCTTTAATCCTCCAACAATAAAGCGCAGGATTTAGCGAGGAGTTCATGTAAACTAAAGAAAGTGTTGAGAACTGGGCCATAGTGAGCAGCGTGCTAGAACCACGAACAACGATGACCGCAGTTACTACGGCAAAAGGTGTGTAACAGATCGCCAGAGTCAAATGAGCCCATAACGCGTTGAAAACTGACCGTCTGTAGCGTGCAATATTTGGTGTATTGTTCCCTGTTTGGAGAAAAACTTGAACTTGCGCTTGTTGTCTTCGGATAGCAAAAAATATTCTTATGTATGAATAGCTTGATATGAAAACGTCCAAAAGTATTAGTACAACACCTACTGTAAAAAGTAAGGTCTGGCTGGCAAGGTGAAGAGCTCCGATCATGCCGCTTTTGATCCAAAACACTAAAACAGCCCGGCGAGCTCGCTCTACAGTTACGATTTGTATGTATCTGAATTTTAATGTAAGAGCAAGGAGTCTATCCAAGCCTATGGCAGTAAGTACTGTTAACGATACTCCGCTAAAAACTGTAGTGGTAACAGGCAGCGAGTATTCTATCATCTGGCACAAGTTCCATGATTCCTTTAGAGCGGATAATAGGAGCGTTACAACTAACGGCTGCGAAATGGCGCCCACACAAAGATCAGTTACTGTTAGAGAACTAAGGAGCATTTTTGATGGTGCGTGAATAGACGAGTAATTAGCAAGGGCAACCAAAATCACGCTGTTACCAAGAGTAGCTGTTACTGATAAAACTATGTTTAAAATTACCATGACCTTGTAAAAACTAGGGAGATCAGAGCCCTCCCAATGTACAGTACAAAACTCCGACATACTCTTCAAGTCTTTAACAACCAACTCAATTCCCTATGTCAGGATGATGATCTTTTGCATTGCTCTGAATTTAATTTTAGTAGGGTAAACGCAATAACAGAATTTAATATGAAGTGTTTACCTTGCTCCTGTCATAAGTCTTCACATCATTTTAACCAGCGTGATAAAGTAGTCGAAAGTGTCAAAAATATCTCCGGCAAGGTTACGCAGAATTTTCTTTTCCGCGTTTTTTACGAATTAAAAACATTTTATGTTTTCACGATCCAATTCGTATTTTACTTTTCATGTTACAAGGAATAAATGTGGGTTAATTCAAAAGAGAAAACATTTTTAATTATTGTTCCATCCAGACGGTCTGTGTTGTCATATTTTCCGGAAACGTAATCAGCTTTGCGAATGTTCGCAATTAGCCCAATGGGCATGATATTTACTATACAGTGATTTATTGGAATCTTATTTATCACTTAAACCGATATTTTTTTACAAATATCTTATACTTTTTCCGAAACATCGGTTCCATCAAAAAAGCGGAAAAGCGAGCCACGCATTTAAGCAAGCATGTAGTAAACTCAGATTTTTTTGTTACAATGTAAATGTTGTAAGTTGTTAAATTTAGTTGCTTGTCATAAATTTAGATATTCGCCACTTGCGCATTTCCCATGATACATTGGTCTGCTCTCTGCGACACAATCTCGACCCCAGAGCTCTTCTGCGCATGACCGCCACGCGCGGAGTCGGATTGCGTAAGCACTGGGGTCGAGATTGCCTGCGATGGCTCCCTGCACAAGCGGGGAATTTGCCTCTCTAGGCGCGTGTGCCACCGAAATTACGCCTGTACCCCCCCCAACCCCACCCAGCCAAAGCTAGGGATAGCACACAATACCGTTGTTGCTGTCGACAAAATTAAGGGTACAATGAAGGTTGATATTTTTTCAGTGGTTGGTTTACGGCATTAGTGTTCGACTTTGGCGTCTGAAGCATTCTCATATTTTGACGACGAAGGAGCAGATTTAATAAAGGCAGTTTAAAGGTACCTCGGGCTCCTCTAGCCATCGCTTCCTTCAGTAAAGCCTATTTTGTGAGCTACTTTGAATAAATAGCTCATATGTCAGTTGTTTTGAGCGTATGTATCTTTGTAGCTTTGTGGCTTTGTATGTTTGGATGTTTGTTGCAGGGGCTAATAAGGCTGAAGGTGCTATGAGTTGATACGTAGGAACCAATGAGATTTTAGCATCTAACTGAACAAATGTAAATGTACTTAGGGATAAGAAAAGATTTGATTATTGTCACCTTACCGTATATCGACAGGCCTCTAGCGGACCATATATTAATAAGTTTTTTAATTGAATCCATTCGTTCTATAAAATTCTTTTCTTGAAGCAATTTTTGGTCATAAGTAAAATATACACCTAGAGCTTTTATTGGCTCGTCCGGCCATTTAATACCGAAAGGTTTTTCTTTATAATGTCTCTTAGATCCAATCCACATATACCTTCAGTTTTTGAACAGTTAATCTTGAGTCCAGAGAGAATTTCGAATTTGTTAAGTAGTTCAAATAATCTTGCGGCCGAGCTTGTGTCAGCTAACACAGCGGTTGTATCGTCTGCAAACTGTAAAAGCTTAGTTTCCTCAGTTCCTATTGTGATTCCTTTAATTGACTCTTTTTGCCTTATAGCAATACCTAAAATTTCTACAGCAATTATAAATAAGTAAGGAGAGAGTGGATCACCCTGCCTAACACCGCGTTCCAGAGTAAAAAAGTTAGAACTAACGCCATTGTTTATAACACAGCTTTGAATGCTGTTATAAAAGGTTTTCACCCATTGAAGGAGGTCTCGACCAAAGTTAAACTTTTTAAGACTCTCAATGAGAAATTCCCATTCCACACTGTCAAAAGCTTTTTGAAAATCTATAAACAGCAGTAAACCTGGGATGTTTTCCTTAGCTGTGAAGTCCATAATATCGAAAATAGAACGTATTGCTTCACCAATGAAACGATCGTTAACATAACCAGTCTAGTTGTAGTGAATGATATTGGGTAACACCTTTTTAACCCTTGCTGCGATCACCTTGGACATAATTTTCGTATCTACATTAACAAGAGATATTGGCCGCCAGTTTTTGAGGAGAGCGCGATCTTTTTCGCTTTTCGCAAGCAGAGTAATTACAGCCTGTTTTTGTGAGCATAACATTCCCCCTTTTTCGAAGCATTCATTTGTACACCTGATAAAACTTTCGCTTATTAAAGGCCAAAATGTTCTATAGAATTCAGCTGGAATGCCATCATTTCCAGGGGATTTATTACTCTGAGAGCTATCCAAGAGTTCAGAACATTCTTCTGGAGAAATGAATCCTTCACAGGAATTTTTTTCCTCCTCTGAAAGTTGGGGAATATTCAGATCGTTCAAAATGAAGATATTTTCTCTTCTATATTAGGACAATTAATGCTGCTTTTGTACAATTCTCTGTAAAAACGCTCTTGTTCTTTTAGTATACAGTGCGGGTCCGTTGTAATTTTACCATTTATGCACAGTTTTCTTATATGCTTTTTAACGTGGTTCCTTTTTTCTAAGTTTAAAAAATATTTTGTGCTTTTCACTCCATGTTCATGCCATCTAGCACGTGCTCGTATTATTACGCCTTTGGTTTTTTCTTCGTAAAACGACTCCAACTTCTCCTGAGCTACGTTATAATAGGTTTTGTTATGGTCGTTTGGATTATTTTCAAGTTTACTCTTTGCTTTAGTTAATTTTTCCTGAAGGTCAAGTTCCTTTCTCCCCCTTTCTTTTGCCTTTCTTTTAGAGTATTGAATAGCATGAGCTCTTATGTTATATTTAATCCAATCCCATATCATTCGATTATCTGTAAATTCTTTCTGTCCTTCCGCTATCCAAAGTGGAATCATCCTGGCTATATCTTCTTCGTAGTCTTCATCATCTTACAGTGAGCAGTTCATTTTCCAGTTTCCTGGCCCTTTCAATATCGTTCTCTAACTTTCCGAGTTCTAAAGAAATTGCATCATGATCTGTTCGTACAGCCGGGATTATTTCGGTCAATTCAACAAAATCGCTCAGATTGTTAGATATCAACCAGTAATCGAGACGACAAAACACTGGGGGAGATTTTTGACTCCACGTAAAACTTTTTGCGTCTGGATTTTTGGATCTCCAGATATCCACTAAATCTAATTTACTTTTGAAACCTTCGACACAAGAGATAACTGACTTCCTTTTTGTACTTGCTCCGCCTTTTTTGTCGAGTAATGGATCGAGTGGACAATTTAGATCTCCTCCTAGTATGATGTTATCCACAGAATCCAGATTTTCATTTTGCAAAATTGAAAGTAGGTTGTTGAAAAAATTCACTTGGTCTTTATCTTTGTTCGGCGCGTAAACATTAATCAGCACATAGTCTTTATCTTGGATGCAAGCTTTTAAAATAGTGTATCGCCCCTCGGAGTCTACAATTTTATGATTAATGCTGCAATCAATACCATTTTTAAACAAAATCGCAACACCTCGCGAATAAGAACTACCGTGACAAGATATCATCTCAGCACCCCATTCATTTCTCCACTGATTCTCTGTTGCAGGGATCGAGTGCGTCCCTTGTAAAAAAACCAGGTCTGCCTTACGTTTACAACACCAGAGAAAGATGGTTCTTCTTTTGCGGAAATTACTTAAGCCCTTCACATTAAGCGATATTAGTTTAAAAGCACTGAACAACTAATGTCACTGTATGCAAATTGTGGGACTGCATAGCTGAAAACAAAAGAGCCGAACGTGTAATTGAACAAACGAAGGCGTGAATGTAGACATACTTTGAAAGCAAGTAAAGGATACTGATTGTGCATAGGTAAAATTAATAAATAAACACAGTAAGCGAAAATTAGAATAGAAAAACACTCGAAAAAATCTCAAATACAACACTAAAAGATAAGAAAAAGAAAATAATACAGGGACACACGTTAACCACCAAAACACTAGCCGAAACATACTCCTTTGAGATACTCAAATGAAGTATTTTAAGAAGGTACTAACCTTTCGACAATTTTAAATATTGTGTTTTTCAGAATCTAATTAGCTTCAATCTGACTTAAAGACGTTGTTGTTGTATTGCACCAGTAGTACCGTAAATTAGTTGAACAGATCTATGTTCGTTCTTTGATCTACTTAAAATCCTCAAGGATATTTGTTACATCATACTTTAGTTCTCCTATGTACAGATATCTACCAACCACTTTGGCCTCTGAACCTTGCTCCTTTGCCTTGAACATCGCCTTTATTAGCTTCCTTCGTTCATCTTGTATAGCTTTTGCATAATCGGCGGTTATGTAAGCGTCCTTGAACCTTGTGCTCTTTTTAATTCAGGCAGGTACAAAAGTCGGACCTGATCAACTCGGACCGCCAGTCCGGGTCGGATCAACTCGGATCGACTCGGACCAACTCGGATCGAATAAAAAAATAAAAATAAAATGAAATTGGACTTGGATCAACTCGGATCATAAAAAAAAAACAACTCGGATTATAAAAAGAAAAATAAAATCAGTCGGTATCACTTAACTTTCACCCGCCATTATGTTTTTTTCTCACGAACTCGTGGTTGCGTAAATTAATTTTATTTTTATTTTTATTACTTTTAATGATACACTAGTGAGCAGCACACATACACTTCCAGTGAACATTTTCAACTTGGAAGGATGAGAAATCATGCTCGCCCGGGACAACGAAAATTTTCGAACCCTAGGCGAGAATTGAACTCACGACCCTCTGAATACTACATGTTTATCGGACGTTCCAACCACTGAACCGGAGTGTCGCGAGTTCGATTCTTGAAAAGGGCATGGAAATTTCCTTTGTCCAGGGCGAGCATGGTTTCTCCTCCTTCCAAGTTGAAAATGTTCACTGGAAATGTATGTGTGCTGCTCACTAGTGTATCATTAAAATTAAGTTTCAGAAGTCCTGCAGAAAAAAAAAACAAACAGCAACAAACAAACAAACACTCTTCGGTAACTATCTAAATGCGATCAACAGACCAGGCTTTTGATGCTTTTCTTATAAATAATTCAGTAGTCTAATAAATAAGCAAATATATACATTCTAGGCGACTGAAACTATCATTTCTTTACTGTCGAACCACAACCACGAGTTTATAACATGATCCGAGAGGAACTGGCACTAGTAAAACAAAATGGCGCCTGAAAGCCACGGAGAAAAAAAGGATGATCTGGCCTTTTTTACCCTCCAAATGGGTTAAACTTTCAGTTTTGCTGATTTAATTTAATTTTTTTGATTGCTCCGAGTTGATCCGAGTCCAATTTTATTTTATGATGGGCTCCTGGTCCGAGTCGATCCGAGTTGATCCGACACGGACTGGCGGTCCGAGTTGATCCGGTCCGACTTTTGTACCTCCCTCTTTAATTTCCTTCTTCCTGGCAAAAACCTGATCTCTGTCTTCTCGGCAAACGAAGCGAGCAATGATCGGTCTGTGTTTGTTTTCTTTTCGCTTGCCAATTCGATGCACTGGGTGAAATCGAATTTGTGCGGTGTCCATGTGCAACTCTTTTTGCAAAATGCTGAGAATAACTTGTTTCGGCGAGTGGTTAACACCTTCTTCTTCTGATTCTGGGATATTGTGAAATTTTAGATTCTCACGCCGAGTATAATCTTCCAGCTCTATAACTCTGTCTCTTTCCTCCTTTAGCTCAGCTTTGGTTTTTGTAAGAAGCGCTCGCAGTTCTTGCATCTCGTCCTCCCGTACCGTTTTAGAGTCTTTAAGAGCTTTGGCTGCCTCTTTCA